CTATCACCATCACCATCATCATCATCATCATCATCATCATCATCAGCATCACCAGCACCAGCATCATCGTCAGCATCACCATCATCCTCATCATCATGATCATGATCAGACTTAGCATCATGATCATAGTCATCATCATCAGCATAATCGCCATCCTCATCATCAGCATGATCGTCAGCATCATTGCCATCATCATATCCAGACTCATCACCACTAACAACATCAGCAGTTACAACATCAACATCAGCATACGCATCGGCGTCAGCATCGTTTGCGTCAGCATCATCATCATCATCATCATCATCATCATCATCATCATCATCATCATCATCATCATCATCATCAGCGGCAACATCATCGTAACCATCGTCAGCAGCATCATCGTAACCATCACCATCACCAGTACCATCACCACAATCACCAGCACCATCATCATCATCAGCGTCAGCATCATCATCATCATCAGCAGCATCATCATCATCATCATCATCGCCACCATCCTCCTCCTCATCATCATCCCCCTCTCCTCCTCATCCTCATCCTCATCCTCATCCTCATCCTCATCCTCGCATCATCATCATCACCACCACCACCACCACCACCACCACCACCATCATCATCATCATCATCATCATCATCATCATCATCATCATCATCATCATCATCATCATCATCAACATAACCGTCATCGTCATCGTCATCGCCGTCGTCATTATCATCGTTATCATCATCATAACCGTCATCGTCATCGTCATCGTCATCGTCATCGCCGTCATCGTCATCACTCACCCCTCTCTTTTTTGGCAGCAGCAGCAGCCAGGCCCTCGACCAGATTTCATATGTAGCGGCAGCCGAGGGCGAACTGAGGCGGCCGCGAGCGCCTGGAGACGTGTGGACCGAAGAGTCCCCCTCCTCCTCCTCCTCCTCCGCCTCCTCCTCCTCTTCCTCCTCCTCCTCCTCCTCCCCCTCCCCCTCCTCCTCCTCCTCCCCCGCCTCCTCCTCTCCTCCCCTCTCCCTCCTCCACTCCTCCTCCTCCTCCTCCTCCTCCTCCTTCCTCCTCCTCCTCTCCTCCTCCTCCTCCTCCTCCCTCCTCCTCCTCCTCCTCCTCCCTCCTCCTCTCCTCCCTCCTTCTCCTCTCCCTTCTCCCTGCTACTCATCCCTCCTCCCTCCTCCCTCCTCCCTCCTCCCTCCCTCCTCCCTCCTCCCTCCTCCCTCCTCCCCTCCTCACTCCGCCCTCCTTCTCCCGGGGCCCTGCTCCTCCGCCCCCCGAGCAGCGGGGGGCCGGGCGGGCGGGCCTCGCCCTGGAGGCCGCGCATGCCCCCGGGCGCGGGGCGGCCGGCACCAGACGGGGCTTCTGAAGGGCCGCCGGGGCGCGCGCTGCGGCCGCGGCTGCGGAGAGGGTGCCGACGGGCGGGGCCGCTTCGCCTCTCCGCCTGCTGCTGCAGATGCTCCCTGGCCCTGCCGGCCGCTGCCCTTTCGTCCTCCTGCTCCTGCTCCTGCTCCTGCTCCTACTCGTCCTTGTCCTGGTCCTCCTCCTCCTGCCTTGCCCTTCCCCTTCCCCCCTTTGCTCCCGTGCTCGTCGGCTTTCTCCTCCTCTCCTTTTTTTTTTTTTCTCTCCTCCTCCTCCTCCTCCTCCTCCTCCTCCTCCTCCTCCTCCTCCTCCTCTTCCTCCTCTCCTCCCCCTCGTCCTCGTCCTCCTCCTCCTCCTCCTCCTCATCCTTGTCCTTCTCCTTGTCCTCTCTACTCGAATCGATCATACTTCTCCCAGGCGTGGACGTAGTGGTCTGGAGGCCACGGCTGCGGCATACGTATCGCAGCCGTGGCCTCACCGACCCCTCGCCTCGGCCCTGCATCGGGAACGGCGAGACGGTCTGGTTCAAGAGGGGTGATTTCGACGGCTGGGCTGGCCTCAGGCCGGTGACTTCAAGAAGGTCTGGTCCAAGAAGGGGCGCCTCCAGTCGGGCTGGGGGGCCTCAGGCTGGGGGCGCTTCAGGTCCAGCGAGACCAACCTGATATATCCCGGCTGCTGGGGTGCCTCAGGTCGGGCTGGGGGGCCTCAGGCTGGGGGGGCTTCGCGTCTAGCGAGACCCACCTTCTTCGACGAACCCTTCTGGCAGCCTCCGAGCCTCGAGGGATGCTGGCGCACATGCAGCGATGGCTGTTGGTCCCGAGCCGCCAACACCTGTGCTGGATTTCGAGCAAGCTTGCGTACGCTAGTGGGCCCCCTCGCTCTCCGACGACATCGTTCGAGGTGGCGTGCTTTCGGCGCGCGGGCGGCGCCTCCATCAGTCCCTTTCGGACCTCAGCAGCTGGCGTCCAGCACTGTCTCAACATAATCATGGTTGTGGTTCTGGTGATGAATTTCGGGGGAGCTTTAACACCTCCTCTTCCTCCGACTCACTCCTTCTCTGCCTGTCCTCCCGTCCTAGTCCACGTTCTTGGCCTCCTCCTCCTCCTCCTCCTCCTCCTCCTCCTCCTCCTCGTCGCCCTCCTCCTCCTCCCCTTCCTCCGATAATGCTAGCGTGCTAACGTGCTGAAGATGGAGGGATATGCTCCTCTCTCATTAGATTCCTCCTTATTATCCCTCGTCCTCTTCTTCCTTCTCCTCCTCCCCTTCCCTCCCCTCCCTCTTCCCCGACCTGCTCTCCCCATCCGTCCCATCCGGCCTTCCCTCACATCCTCGTCCGCCTTCCTCCATCTGGCCTCCTCAATCCCTTCCCCCATCTCATCCACTTCCTCCTCTTCCCGTTCTCCGTTTTCCTTCCTCCCTCCTCTTCCCCCTCCTCCTCCTCCTCCTCCTCATCATCATCATCCTACTTCCTTCCTCCCCCTCCCCTCATCCAATTGCCTCCTCCGCCTCCTCCTCCTCCTCCTCATCCACCTCTTCCTGTTCTCCCCTCCTCCCCTCCCCTCCCCTCCCCTCCCCTTTCCCCCTACTCTTCACCCACTGTTCCTCGTCCTTGTCCTTGTCCTCCCCCTCCCTTCCTCATCCTCGTCCTTCTCCTCATCCTGCTACTGCTGCTGCTGTTGCTCCTGCTCCTCCTCGTCTTCACTCATCTCCCTCCCGCAGCCCCGATGCTCCAACGGTTCCTGGCCTCGGAGTCGGCTCTTGGCGCGGGCTGAGCGGCATTCTCCCGTTCGCCTATGCCTCTCCCCCTCCGCTCCCCATTCTGCCTCCCTCCCTTTTCCTCGCCCTCCTCCGCTCCCTCCTCCGCTCCCTCCTCTGCCTCTCTTCCTCCGCTCCCCATCCTGCCTCCCTCCCTTCTCCTCGCCCTCCTCCGCTCCCCCCTCTGCCTCTCCCCCTCCGCTCCCCTCCTGCCTCCCTCCCTTCTCCTCGCCCTCCTCCGCTCCCCTCTCTGCCTCTCCCCCTCCGCTCCCCATTATATTCTGCCTCCCTCCCTTCTCCTCGCCCTCCTCCGCTCCCTCCTCTGCCTCTCTTCCTCCGCTCCCCATCCTGCCTCCCTCCCTTCTCCTCGCCCTCCTCCGCTCCCCCCTCTGCCTCTCCCCCTCCGCTCCCCATTATATTCTGCCTCCCTCCCTTCTCCTCGCCCTCCTCCGCTCCCTCCTCTGCCCTCTTTCTCCGCTCCCCATCCTGCCTCCCTCCCTTCTCCTCGCCCTCCTCCGCTTCCCCCCTCTGCCTCTCCCCCTCCGCTCCCCATTATATTCTGCCTCCCTCCTTCTCCTCGCCCTCCTCCGCTCCCTCCTCTGCCCTCTTCCTCTCCATCGCCCTCCTCCGCTCCCTCCTCCTGCCTCTCTCTCTTCCTCCTCCTCGCCCTCCTTCCCCTCCTCTGCCTCTCTTCCTCCGCTCCCCCCTCCGCCTCCCTCCCTTCTCCTCGCCCTCCTCCGCTCCCCCCTCTGCCTCTCCCCTCCGCTCCCCATTTATTCTGCCTCCCTCCCTTCTCCTCGCCCTCCTCCGCTCCCTCCTCTGCCTCTCTTCCTCCGCTCCCCATCCTGCCTCCCTCCCTTCTCCTCGCCCTCCTCCGCTCCCCCCTCTGCCTCTCCCCCTCCGCTCCCCATTATATTCTGCCTCCCTCCCTTCTCCTCGCCCTCCTCCGCTCCCTCCTCTGCCTCTCTTCCTCCGCTCCCCATCCTGCCTCCCTCCCTTCTCCTCGCCCTCCTCCTCCTCGCCCTCCCCCATTCCTCGTCCGTGTGCACACCTCCTCCTCGTCGCGCCGCCGGACGTGCCGCCAGGGGGGGCCGGGCGCCTCGCCTGTCGCTTGCCCCCTCGTGCGCGCGCAAGTCCCGGCAGGTGCACGGGTGGAGGGCGGGCCGCTGTCAACGCGCGGCTCTCGCCTTGGCCCCGCGGGGCACTCGTCTTCACCGCTCGGCACCATCAGCTCTGCGAGCAGAGGGCAGCCGGTTTTCAAACCGCGGCTCTGGCCTCGGCGCCGCGCGCACTCGCTGTAAATACTTCCCTCAGCTGCCCGGGTGGAGGGCGGAGGGTCAGATTCGCATCGCCCCCTCTCCCACGCTGGTCCTCCACTGGTCCTCTTCCCCAGGGGGGGGTCCCAGGGGGGAGTCCGTTTCCTCCTCTTTCTCCTCCTCCTCCTCCTTATCTCCGCCTCCTCCTCCTCCTCCTCCTCCGCCTCCTCCTCCTCCTCCTCCTCCTCCTCCTCCTCCTCCTCCTCCTCCTCCCCCTCCTGGTCGCCGTCGATGTCGTTCAGGGTCGGCGGCACCTGCCGTCAGGCCTTCGCAATGCTTCCCTCGGCTGCCGGGGGTGGGGGGCGGGTGCGTCTCAGCAGGTGGCTCGCTCGCCTCGGCGCCACGCCCATCGGTGTGCAGATGCTCCAGCACCTCTGAGAGGACGGAGGGCGGCGCGCCTTCCAGACGGGGCCCTGGTTTTAGGTCGGGCCTGTCCCCTACAGGGAGGGTTGGGGCGAAAAAATTAGAATCAGCCCAGGAAAATCCAACACATATACAAAAGTACAAAGATCCAAAACATATACAAAAGTACAACTTACCCAAAACACATACAAAAGTACAAAACAAGCCAAGGCCCCTTAACTCTCGTTTGAGGCTTCATCGAACACGGTGGCAATCGCTGCAACACTATAGGCAGCACCCTCGCGGACGGCGGGCGGCTCCCTTCCGGCACGAAGCCATCGCTGGGCTCCTCCGGGAGCACTCCGTACAGCTTGGGGGGATGGAGTCAGTTCCTGTTCAGAACGAGGCTCTCGCCTGAGCCGAATGCCAGAGGGGGCATTCGTATTTCAAGGGGGGGCATCCAGCAATGATGGATCGATATAAGGATTGTGAGGGGAAGTGGGATGGGAGGGTAGCTGGGGGGATGGAGCCAGTTCCTTTTCAGAACGAGGCTATCGCCTGAACCGAATGCCAAAGGGGGCATTCGTATTTCAAAGGGGGGGGGCCTCCAGCAAGGACGAATCGATATAAGGATTGTGAGGGGAAGTGGGATGGGAGGGTATAGTTACTGCAGCATCGACGCTGCATCATGTGTTTACTGTGGGCCTCCTCCTCCTTCTCCGCGTCATTGTCCTTATCCTTGACCTTCTCTTTCATCCGTGCCCTCGTCCACACCCTTGTCGTTCTCTTTGCCTCCTCCTTCTCATCTTTCTCCTCCTCTTCCTCCCTCCCCACCACCATTTTACTTCCATCGCTATTCGCTGGCATTCCGCTAGCTTGTGCCACAGGCGATATGAGCCAAAAACCAGGCATATCCAGAGAAACAACAAACGCCAAAACATGACTTATCTGCGGTCCGCGTGGATCTCTTGGATCGGCGATGACCCTCCTCCCTGGCGTGCGACGCGCTCCAGGGGCGGTGCCAGAGGCGCCGCCAGGGGGCTGCAACACAGATCCGAGAAATCCGCGCGGAACTCCGACAATTTACGTTTATGCCGCTCTTCTTCTTCCGCACACCCTCTGGAAAGGAACTTTCTCCCCCCGCGAAGGAGGCCCGAGGCGAGCGCGAGGGAGCGAAACCCATGGGCGCAGGCCGCTGCCATCGCATCGTACTCCACGATCGTGGGGCCCCAGTGGTGCCCGCACCAGAGGTCACTCCGGCGAACGGTCACTCTCACGTGCAGTCGACCACTCGGGCGGTCGGATCGGGCCAGGCTGGGCAGAGACCGTGGAGACGCCGGCGGCTGGGTGGCGGCCCCGTCGGTGCGCGCGCTGGGAGGGGCGGCAGGGCGCGCCTGGAGTCTGCGTCCGAGTTGGCGTCGGAGCCCACTTCCGACCTGGCCCAGGCAGGCGGTAGGGGCGGCAGCGGCGGCGGGCCTGGAGGCGGCAGCTGGGGTGGCAGTGGCGGCGGTGGCTGGTGGCGGCGGTGGTGCAACAGCGGTGGCACAGTCAACCCGTATCATCATGACGCGCGGTAAGGATGCAGGGGCCTTGGAAGGCCATGTCGAAGCTTTTCGAGCGGGGCGCGGCAAAGGAGAGCGGCCAAGGATGGACCGAGGATGCAAGGATGCAAGGGTTCCCTGGGGAAGGTCGCACATCCTTGATATGCTTACTATGCAGCTCGACTGTAGAGAATTCGGAGGCGATGGAGGCGGCAGAGGCGGCGGCGGAGGCGGCCGTGGAGGCGATGGTGGACGTGGCGGCAGCGGCGGAGGCGGCGGCGGTGAAACAGAACGGCGAGGAGGACCAGGAGGAGCAAGGGGGGGGGGCGAGAACGGCCCCAGAGGTCTGGCCAGATCTCGGTCGGCCCGATCCCTGGGAGCGTCTTCTTCGCGGGTTTTTGTTGGCGGCTTGTTGGCGGCCTCAGGGCCCGAAAGCAGCCGACAGAAACCGAAACTTGACAAAACACCTGTCGTTTCTTGCTGTTCGACGGCGAGAGTTCAGGGGAGAGGGAGGACGCCAACATCAACGTCAATCATTGTCACCGTGGTGGGACAAGAGAGGGGTACATACGTGTGTATGTGTATATATAGATACAAGACTCCAGTGACGCTTCGCGCCATGCACCTTGGTCCTTGAAGTTTGGTACGCAGGCGGAATAGCAGGAAGGTCAAGCCGACAACTTAGATATAACTCCTTGTTGCCTTTTCCAGCATCGCCGCTATGATAATGTTATTCGTTATCCTTCCTCCATGCTTCTTTTTCCTTATTTTCGCCGTACCCTGCGCATTCTCCCCATCCTCCTCAGCTCTTTTTTCCGGAGGCTCCTCCTTGGAGAGCCTCTGGGGGCCTCAGAAAAGTTGTTTTACAACCCCCTGGAATAAAAAGTCCGGACCGCAGAGGTCTGGGAATAAGCCTTGATGTTCGGCTCCCGTTCGGCCACGGGGCTCCGGTACAATGTTGCAGGGGCCGCCATGGTTAAATTTCCGGTCCATCCTCACCCCCTCTAATATTATAATCGCCAAATGGGGTGACGACCGGAAATCCGCATTCCGCCTAATAATTCCTCCCTGAAAAATTCCGCTTTCCAGGCGACCGGAAATCTCAGTGGCGACCGGAAATTGGCGATTTTGCTTGGGACTTCCTCGCAAATGAATTTCCGGTCCCAGTTATGTTGCTGGGAAGTTGCGACTCTGCTTGGTACTTCTTGCCAGTCATGTTTACCTCTCGGGGAGCGACGATGCAAGGGGGCCTGCAGTGCCGATCCGGATAATCGCCAAATGGGGTGACGACCGGAAATCCGCATTCCGCCTAGTACTTCCTCCAAAAAAATTCCGGACGCTTTCCAGGCGACCGGAAATTCTCAGTGGCGACCGGAAATTGGCGATTTTGCTTGGGACTTCCTCGCAAATGATCCGGTCCCAGTTATGTTGCTGGGAAGTTGCGACTCTGCTTGGTACTTCTTGCCAGTCATGTTTACCTCTCGGGGAGCGACGATGCAAGGGGGCCTGCAGTGCCGATCCGGACTTTTTAATCCAGGGGGTGGTAGGCTTGCTTAAGGACTTCTGGAGGCCTCCTGGGCGTATTCTGGGGGCCTCTGGGGACTTCCTCGGGCCACCCTGCCTCCAAACGCGGTCTCCCTGAACGACCGGGTCACGATTTGAAATGCTTCGGAAGGTGTCTTGGGGCCATCTTGGGCCGCCATGAGGCTCTCTGAGGGCCATCTTGGACCCGTGTTGTGCCGTTGTGGGGCTCTCTTGGACTGCCTGGAAGCCCTTTCGGGTGGTTGTGGGGCAATGTTGGCAGAAGACCGCCGTCTTGGAGCGTAGGGAAGCCGAAAAGAGGAGAACCCAAACATTCAGCAAAAACCAACAGAAAATCTAAGATTTGTGCCTCCTGGAGGCCCATTGGGCCATCTTGAGGTCACGTCGGTCACTCTTGGAGCGCTCTAGTGCTGTCGTGGGGGTCTCTGGGACGTCTCCGATGACCCCCCTGATCGCCCTAGGTGTGCTGGGAAGGCTTGGCAAAACGCCCTGCGAGGCCCGGGGGGCCGCTTCGAGGCCCGTCCGGAGGGTCCCAAAGCCCCAGATCCCGGGAGTCCGGTTTTGGGGGGGGGGATGGGTTTTCCCCCCGCCCGGGCTTGCAAAAATATAGGAAGAGGAATATATATATATATATATATATATATATATATATATATATATATTCTCCGGGGGGTCCCCCCTCACAGCTTCGGGGGGGAGGGGCCGGAGGACCCCGTGGAAAACCGGCGAAAGAACATCAGACCCCTGAATTGGGTTTTGTCTAGGGTTTCCCCTTCCGGAGCCTGGGGAATGAGAGGCCAGAGACCCCAGAAAACAATAGAAACATACAAAAATCCTGTGTGGAGGGCGTTCTCGGGGGTTCCCCCCAGAACCTGAGGTGGACGGGAAACGATAGGAAAACCTGTGAAACAATCCAGATGGTTTTTGGCTCTCTGGGGGTGCTCCACCAGGAACCCGCAAACATACAAAAAATTGGAAAACACCAGAGACATATCCGAAGCATCCCCGTGAAAACCCAGAAATTGTCCCAGTGCGACCCTACCTAGGAGTTGGAGCCTCTAGGAAAGCAACATTAGTAGGAGCGGTAAACGCCATCCTCCTCCTTGCTGTGCTGCGCTATGCTATGCTATGCTATGCTATGCTCTGATCTGTTATGCTATGCCATGCTATGCTATGCTATGCTATGCTATGCTATGCTGCGCAATGCTATGCTGGGCTGGGCTGGGCTAGGCTATGCTATGCTATGCTGCGTTATGCTATCCTGCGCTATGCTATACTATACTATGCAATGCTATGCTATGCTTTGCTATGCTGTGTTTTTGATTTGCTTTTGCTTTTGCTTTTGCTTGGCACCCAGGGAGCGCAACTGGGGGAACCGCGCGTTTGCTTTTACCTTGGATGTTGCTTGTGCTTGGCTCCCAGGTAAGCTAAGCTGAGATACACCTGAGCTAAGATGAAGCTAAGCTAAGCTAAGATGAAATACGTTAAGATAAGATGAGATAAGCAACGCTAAGCTAAGGGGGCGTAACTGGGGGAACCGCGGGGCGGATCCTGGGGGAACCGCCCGGGGCGATATCCACCGCCCGGCCCCTTTAAGCTAAGACAGTAAGAACCCTTCTAGGCAGAGCCTAGGTAGGGAATCAAGACGGTTTTTTTCGCAAATTTCGGCCCCCAAGGGGCCCTTGCCGGGCCTTGGGACAATCAATATGCTGTGCTGCGCTATGCTGTGCTACGTTATGCTATGCTATGCTGTGCTCTGCTATGCTAAAGCTCAGCGAAGCTAAGATGAGGGTAAGCTAAGCTGAGATACACCTGAGTTAAGATGAAGCTAAGCTAAGCTAAGATGAAATAAGTTAAGATAAGATGAGATAAGCAACGCTAAGCTAAGGGGGCGTAACTGGGGGAACCGCGGGGCGGATCCTGGGGGAACCGCCCGGGGCGATATCCACCGCCCAGCCCCTTTAAGCTAAGACAATAAGAACCCTTCTAGGCAGAGCCTAGGTAGGGAAAAAACACGGAACGGGAGATTCCTGAGGAGTTTCGGGGAACTGCCACACCCTACCGGACGCGTCGGACGCGTCAGAGTCCGAGCCTTCCTCGAGGGAAGTGGGCGGACGCGTCGAGGCACGGACCCGGGCGAGGTCGGCCTTTCTCGAGGCCAGGAGAGCCTGGGGCTCGCTCGCGGACAGCAGCAAAACCTTGCCCGGAGCCAGAATGGCCGAGCTGGGCGCCCTCAGGGCCCTCGGGGCTCGCCGCCGCCAGAGAATCGATCAGCGCCCGACGCTCGACGAGAGAGAGAGAGAGAGAGGAGAGAGAGAGGCGAGGCCTTCCGGAGGCCCGCACGTCAGCCCCTTCTAGAAAGCGCATCTGGCTTTTTTTTTCGCGACAGCGGCCGTTACCGGCCCTGGCCAACCCCCCAACCCCGCCCCCAGGGAACGTCACGAGGCGCGTTGACCTCCGATCTGCCTTCTGGTTACTCCCATAACCGCTCCTTGACGGCGCCGGCGCGGAAGGTGCCATTACCGCCCCCCCCCCCCCCCCCCCGGGTAACGCCCGTAACGCCCGTTATCGCCACTGGGATCCTGGGATCGCCGCCTGGGGCTGCTAAGTGGATAAGGAGATTACAGGTGGATGCCAAGGTGGGGCTTGTATCTGGCCCGCCCTGGCTTACAACTGGGCTACACATGCCCCAAATAGCTTAAGGGGGTGAGCGATCCGGGCTAAGCGAGCTCCGCCCACTCAGCGGAGTTATCTATACCCCCCTTAGCCACTCGGGGAATATGTAACCCGCTTGTAAGCCAGGGTGGGCCAGATATAACCCACCTTGGCGTCCACTTGAACCCCCCTATCCACACAGCAACCCCTGCGGCGATCACAATATCGCCAGGGAGCAACAGAGATCGGGATCTTCTGACCCAGGTCAATCCTGACCTGGGTCAATCAGGCCTTGCACAATCCTGCAAGATCATGCACCTAAACCCGGGTCAGTGCGGAGGATCCTGCAGGATCCTGCGCCCAAACCCTGGCCAACGCGACCCTAGCCCTGCAGGATCCTGCAAGATCGGGCGCTCTGGCTGACCCCCGTTGGCGTTGACCCCCCGTCTCAAGGCTCCTGGGGAGAACGTTTCCCAACGCCTCCGGGGAGAGGAGGGCCAGAGGACGACGGGCGGAAGGGCGCGAAGCACTCCGCCGATCGCGACGGCATGGCGGTGCGCAGGGGGCGGCCCCCGGCCTGGCGCTCCAGTGCCGCATGCTGCTGCAGGCGCTGCCGCCCTGCGTCGTGCTTGGGGGCGGGAAAGGGGGGGGGGGGAAGGGGGGGGAAGAGGGGGGCGGGGGAGAAGGGAAGGGGAGGGGGACGAGCGGGAGGTCGTGGTGGTGTGGGGGGGGGGAAAGAGGAGGGGGAAGAAAAAGGGGGGAGGAGGAGGGAGGAGGGAGGCTGAGTGAAGAGAGGGCGGCGTGAAAGGGTGAGAGTGAGCGGGGGATGTGGGGGAGAAGGAAGGAGGGATGATCGATGAGGGACGAGAGCAAGCAACGAAAGGATAAGGAAAAGGAGTCACCTCGCCCCGCCCGACCCTTATCATCACCCTCTCCCTCTCCTTTTGTTTTGTTTCCCCCTGTCTTTATCCTCCCTATTCCTCATGTGTATGTGCCCCCGCTCTGCCATCCAGCCGGCGGGTCACAGGCCCATCCGGGGGTACCCCATCAGATCTGTAAAGAGCCATGCGACGTCGACGTGTTTGCTTCCAGCATGGACGTCCTGCCGCCCACGCTGCAAAATGCGCGGCAACAAAGTGGGCGGGGCGCACGCCCCGCACGGAACAGGCCGAAGTGCAGCTCTCGCCCGTGCGCAAACGTTTTTTTTTCTCCAGAGGGGGTGGGCTCCCGCCGGGCGCGGCTCGCAGCTCTTGCGCGCCAACTCGTCGACGCGCGAGCGGACGAACAGGCGGTCGTACCGCTGCGGCGCCGCGCAGATGTCGCCTCAAAGTGGCGCTCCCGTCCTGGCGCGGCGCAAATGTTTCATCCGACAATGTTAAGGAGACGGAAGCCTTGAAAATAGGGCCCACCCGACTGCCAGGGGTGAGCAGGAGGCGGAGCGTGAGGGAGGCGGAGCTGGTGGGACCTTGACTGCCTACCAACTGCCTAAGCCTCTGGAGCTCTTGCCCATTGGTCCCAGTGATGCTAGTGCCGTAGGAAACGCTGGTTTCCACGGTGGCTTTGACCATACGAGCGACGAGTCGGCGACGTTTCGCTTTTTGCAAAATCTTTAAACGCCTAGAGCGGACGTCAGCCGCAGCCAAACGCTCTCGCTTAGTGGTGCGACCCAACCTCCGCCCAGACCCAAAGTCAACCCTGGGTTACAAGTGAGTGGTCTGTAAAGCCCCTGGGAAGTCCCAGAGCCTAGAAAGCCGCCAGGACGCCGCACACCACGCCGGGTTTATCCTGTCAGCCCACGGGAGGTTCAGCGCACAGCGCCTCGTAAATCAGGGTAGGGGCGTTTTTTGTTGCGCCCTTGCAATGTAGAATTGTTGCATCTGGCGCGGTGCAAATGTTTCATTCGATTTAAACCGACGGAGACCGGAAACGACGGAGACGGGAAAGGCCCGAAAAGAGAACGGGCAAAACGGAGGACGTCGGACACGGAACGCTTCCCTGCTGAATTGTGGGCCTCCCGCCGCGCGAGCGGGCGACTCGTCGCCCTCGCCCCCGAGAGGCGTGCGATGTGTTGTCGGAGGCAGCGTGCCCCCCACGCCGTCGCGGCGCGCGGTGCGTCCGCCGATCTCTCGCAGGACGGCGGCGGCGGCGGCGGGGCCGCGCGAGAGCGGGAGGCATGCCTCCTCCTCCTCCTCCTCCTCCTCCTCCTCCCGACCGTGCCCGAGCGCTGCGCGGGCCGTGAGCGACAGTGGCAGGTGCTGCGTCGGTGCGGCGCATGCTTCGTCTTCGCCGTGCTGAGGTCGGGAAGTCTGCCGTTCCCGCCCCCGCGCGGCCCGCGCAGTTCTCCCGTTGCCAAATCGTCGGTGGGAGCGCGCTCCAATCCCAATCGCAAGTTGCGTCAGCTCTGATGTTCTAGTATTGGAGGGAGGGCAGGCGCAGGCGGGGCCCTCTGATTCGCTCGACCTGGCCCCCTTGACTCTTAGTCTCTCTACCACCCTCACTCTCACTTACACGCGCACTCCCTCTCTTTCTGGCTCTCTGACTCTCTGACTCTCTTTCTCTCTATGTATGCCTCTCCCTTTCTCTCTCTCTCTCTCTCTCCGTCCTGCCATCCCAACTGCGTGCTGCTCACCCACGCGTGCAGTTTGCCTCCCCCCCCGTGACGTTTCCGTGCGCCCGCCCCTCCGGCGCAAATTTTGATCGAGGGCCAAAGGAATGCGACATGAGGTCGTGCCCGTGCGGCGGCGTCATCGCTCGGAACGCCTTCGTTCGGACCTCTGCGGCCATGCGACAACACCCCCCGCGCCGCGCCATGGCCAGGACGGAGAAACACATTCAAAAACGGCCCCTGAGGGAGGTTGGGCCAAGGAGCCTGGGCCCCCCCCCAATGATCCGCAAGATGTGGTCGATGATTTCTCCTCCGGGGGCGAAGCAACTGCACCTCGGCGGCGGAAAACAGAGGGGGGGGGGAGCAGGAGGAGGAGGAGGAGGAGGAGGAGAGGAGGAGGAGGGGAGAGGAGGAGGAGAGGAGGGGAGGATAAATAATAATATAATAATAATAATAATATAATATAATAATAATAATAATAATAATAATAATAATAATAATAATATAATAATAATAAAAAAGAGGAGGAGGAGGGGAGGAGAGGAGGAGGGGGAGGAGGAGGAGGAGGAGGAGGAGGAGAGATCGGCACTGCCGAAACAAAAAGGTCACAGGAGCATGAGTTCAGAACGCGAGTCCCTTCGCCGAAGGCCCAAGGCCCCAAGGAGGTGCACAGAGGACGCACAACGAATTACTCCGGCGGTGGGACAACATGATAATATGAGCAGCTTGCCTGGGGAGATCCTTTTGCTTCCTCCTCCCACCTCACCCCCCTGCCTCCTCCTGCCTCTTCCTCACCCTCCTCCTCCTGCCTCCTGCCTCCTCCATCCCCCCTCATGCTTCATCTTCCTCCCCCTCCTGCTTCCTCCTCCTGCCTCGTCCTGCTTCCTCTTCTTCCTGCCTCCTGCCTCCTCCTCCCCTCCTGCCTCCTCCTGCTGCCCCTCTTCCTGCCCCGTCCTCCTCATCCTCCTCCTGCCTCCTCCTGCCTCCTCCTGCCTCCTCCTGCCTTCTCCTGCCTCCTCCTCCTCCTCCTGCACCTCCTCCACCTCCTCCTCCTGCTCCTCATCATCATCACCACCATCATCACCATCATCACCATCATCATCATCAGCAGCATCAGCAGCATCAGCATCAGCATCAGCATCAGCATCAGCATCAGCATCATCATCAGCATCATCATCATCATCATCATCATCATCATCATCATCATCATCATCATCATCATCATCATCATCATCATCATCATCATCCATCATCATCATCATCATCATCACCATCATCCATCATCACCATCACCATAATCATCATCATCATCATCATCATCATCATCATCATCATCATCATCATCATCATCATCATCATCATCATCATCATCATCAGCATCATCATCAGCAGCAGCAGCAGCATCATCCTGCTCATCCTGCATCCTACTGTTGCCTCCTATCTCCCCCTCGTCGTCGTCGTCGTCGTCGTCGTCCTCCTCCTCCTCCTCCTCCTCCTCCTCCTCCTCCCTCCTCCCCTCCTCCTCCTCCTCCTCCTCCCCCCCGCCTCCTCCTCCTCCTCCTCTCCTCCTCCTCCTCCTCCTCCTCCTCCTCCTCCTCCTCCTCCTCTCCTCCTCCTCCTCCTCCTCTTTCTCCTCCTCGTCATCCTCCTCATCCTATCCTCCTCCTCCTCCCTCCTCCTCCTCCTCCTCCTCCTCCTCCTCCCTCCCCTCCTCCTCCTCCTCCTCCTCCTCCTCCTCCTCCTCTTCTCCTCTTCCTCCTCCTTCTCCTCCTCCTCCTGGAGTTTCCTGTTGTCTCCTGGATCCTTCTCGGGCCTCGTGGAGCCTCCTGTGGCCTCCCGGGGACTCCTGGTGTCTCCTGGGGTACTTCTGGGGCCCTCTGGGGCTTCCAGATGGCTCGGGGGCCTCCTGCGGTTGCCTTGTGCTTCCTGGCCTCCTGAAGCGTCCTGTGGCTCCTGGCATCCTAGCAGTCCCTGTGGCCTACAGAGGCACTCCGAGGGCTCTCGCTTGAGACTCCTCTGCGACTCACTCACAGAAGAGGCCACGCTCGCGACATCCTGACACGTTGCTCAGGCACGAGGCTCTCGCTCCAGACCTCCTCGGTATGCAAGCTCTCAGGTGTACGCCGATGGCCGCCTCAGACTAGTATCATGAAGTGGGTGCCCCATAGGTGGGGGTATCCCGCTCGACACCTCCTCGCAACACACACAGGCAAGCGCTCTGGGCATCCCCACAAGAAGCCAAGGAACGAGGCTTCCGCTCGAGACTTCTACGAGATCCAAGCTCGCAGGTGCAACTAAACCTTTGCTTCCTTTCACCAGTATCCCGATTGCCATGTCGGATTAGTAACCTGATGCGCGGGCCCCGAGGGAGGAAGTGCCCGCTCAAGACTTGCTCGAAACTGACTCACAGACGACGCTCCCGCTCGAGACCTCCTTAAGATGTGTGTGTGTGTGCGCGTGTGCGTGTGAACATGTGTCTGGATGTGGGAGTGTGTGGGTGAATGCGTGAAGGCGTGAGGACGAGATCCCCATGACCTGTGAGAATATGTCAGACCTGCGGGGGCTGTGTCGCCCCCCTCCTCTCCAAGGCCTGGCAGCTCCTTCATCTTTTCCTCCTCCCCCTCCTTCTCCTCCGCCTCCGCCTCCTACTCCTCCTCCTCCTCCTCCTCAAAACTTACACCTTCTGCCTTTCCCTCTCCCTCCCTCTCCTCCTCCGTCTCTTCCTCCTCATCCTCATCATCCTCCCTCTCCTCCTCCCTCTCCTCCTCCTCCTCCTCCTCCTCCTCCTCCTCCTCCTCCTCCTCCTCCTCCTCCTCCTCCTCCTCCTCCTCCTCCTCCCCGTCCCACCCCTGGGAAGGAGGCGGCCGCGAGCCCACGCAAGGCGGCCGCGTGCGCGCAAGGGGTACCGCCGGCCTCGGACTGCGCGGCGCTTCCTCGGGTGGCTGCGGCGCCAGCGGCGGCGACGGCGTCGGCGGCGGCGGCGGCACGAGGGGGTGGGGGTGGGAGTGGGAGAGTGGGAGGAAGGGGACGAGGAGGAGGAGGAGGAGGAGGAGGAGGAACGACGGAGGAGGAGGGGGAGAAGGGAGAAGAGGAGGAGGAGGAGAAACAATGTGTAAACCCAAGGCGCATCGATGGCGTTGCAATGAATTCTCCCTGCGAGTTGCCGCTTCATAGGCCCCTGCATGGAATTATCTTAAACTGCTGGCAGTGCCCCATTGGAAGACATCCGTTCGAGAATCCTCAATCATGCCAAAACGCAATTCCTGGGACTTCAACGCCGCGGTTCAACAGGATTGTTGTGCCCTAGCAACCGTAAAGCGTGCCAGAACAACATTCTGGGGACTCCAACACAGCGAAGCAACGTGTCTGTTGCGCCCTGACAGCCCGAATTCGTGCCAGAACAGTAACCCTGGGACATGAACCATACGTACCCTCGTTTTTTCTGCAACTTTCAAACGAATGTGCGCGGCGCCAATGCGAGAACCACATTTTGAAAGCGGTCCATCCTCCATCCGTGCAAATGCTGCAAACAATTGAAAACACATATCTGCGCGGCGCTGACGCGATAACAACATTTTGAGAACGACGCGCCTTCCATCCGCGAAGCTGCTGAATACTTGTGGAACGTGGGTGCGCGGCGCTACGGCGAGAAGAACATGTTGAACACTATCCGCTCTCCATCCGTGAACCTGTTCAAGCTACAAGCTTCAGGGCCACGAGTGGCGAGGACATTTCAGGCGAAACGCCCGGCCCGCCCTGTCGACACGTCTGAGGGAGCGGCAGGAAAGAGTAACCCATAAGAAAATGAGATCAAAGTGTTTCTTGCAGACTCTGGCCCGATTGGTTTGTCACTCGCAGGGCCCTGGTCGTTGCTTTGGGCGCCCAGTATCAGATCGGGCATGTTCTCTTACAGGCGGATTTTGAAAGACAACTAACCAACAGTCAACACATGTAGAACAGCTTGCAGAGATAATCGACACATCGCCCCCTGACTACTTCTTGCCTTTTTTTGAAGACTCCTCCTGAAGAGGGACATGCCCGGCTCAAGCCCAGGGCCGCTCCGCGGTGTCCCGCGCCCACGGGCGTCGGGCGACCCGCCCGCGCGGATTTTCGTTGGGAAAAAAACGTGCCGCGGCTCAGTGGCACGGCCGAGGACCTCCGGCCGTCCTCTCAGCAGCCCCTGCCTGCCGCGGCGCGGACGACGACGGGCAGCGTCGACGACGGCGACGACGTCGACAGGGAGGGCGCACAGCCGGGCACGGCCCCCGAATGGGACGGGGAGGCCCGCGCGGAGCCCCCCCCGAGCCGGAGGACCTGCACCCGCGGCGGCCCCCTGGAGAAGGGGGGCCGCACTTTCGCGGCCGTGGGTGGAGGGGCTTGTGGCCTCGAGGGCCCGACGCATCCTGCCTTTGTGAGGAGGAGGAGGAGGAGGAGGAGGAGGGAGGAGGAGGAGGAGGAGGAGGAGGAGGAGGGGAGGAGGGGGAGGAGGAGGAGGAGGAGGAGGAGGAGGAGGAGGAGGAGGAGGAGGAAGAGGAGGAGGAGGACGAGGAGGAGGAAGATGAGGACGACGGTGGAAAGTAACGGAGCGGCGCGGGGGTGCTGAGAACGTACCAGACTAAAAGAGGTCGCCTATTGCATCCAGGCTGCGCACAGGGCTGACATTTTACTCTATTTCCCAGTCCTCCTCCAGGTCCTCCTCGTTCTGATGCGCCTCCTCATCCTGATTCTCCTCCTTTCCCTGCTGAGCGCCGTGGCCCTGATGCAGAGCTGCGTCGAGCGCCATGCATGGCACTGATGAAGATCCGACTTGGCAACGCGGCTGCACGCGTCGCTGCACTTTCTCATCCTGGCCGAGCCGACGCAAAACACCAAAGTTTGGCCTCTCCCTCCTCCCTCCTCCCCCCCCCCCCGTCTGCAGGACCCACATCTTCGACGACGACCAGGTCGTCTTGGCGCGCCAGCCCCGGAGCTGGAGCTCCTGACCCCTCCCCTGGGATCGGCTCTTCACCCGGAGCCGTCTTACTGCAGGCCCTGCCTCAAATCACAGCACTGCGGCGCGAATGTCTGTGGAAGCGCAGGCTCTGGGTTCGGGGGCGAGCGATCACCCCTGGACCCGTCCAAAGCCCGGGGGCGCGCTTGCCCGGGCTTCGAGGGGACTCTGGCCGTGGCTTTGGACGCCCGAAAGGGGTACGGAAGAAGTGGGCACACTGCCCAACAGCAAACGCTGCCCCAGACCAACAGCGGCCGCCGTTGGGCAGGCGGCCTCCTGTCTCGAATGCACACAGGCCGCGGCGGCGCGGACAGCGAGCCCTGTTCAAAATGGACAGGGACTGCTGTTGGGCATTGTAACCTATTCTTTCCGTAAGTACACATGTCGGTCGTCCCGAGTGGCGACCAACAACGCCTGCAGAGGCCGGAGAAAAAAACAACCGAGGACACATAAAATGCAGACCGCGAACCTCGAGGCCTCGATCCTCGGGCTCGCTCCAGGGAGGCTGGCACGGCAAGTCTCGGGGGGTCGAGCAGCGTTCCTGGGCCCGTGCAGGGGCACGTCCAGGCCAGAACCTCGGGGGGGATCCAGCCGTGGCGCAAAACTTAATTCGGGCGTGTCCCCCTACAGACGGATTTTGGGAGAAATATCGAACATACGCAAACAATACCCTAAACTCGTCAAACAATGCTTTGGACAAAAACGTCCCCAGACAATTGTTCTGCTGTTTTCGAACATGCCTCCTGTAGAGGGACAGGCCCGACTTAAGGAAAACCCAGAGAAACACCAGAAAGCCATGATCATCGAGCCTCCCCTCTCGAATCTCGACCCCAAGGAGGTCTGACTGGCAGGGACCTGCCGCACTCTCCCACGCCGATGCTGGCGAGGAGGAGGAGGAGGAGGAGGAGGAGGAGGAGGAGGAAGAGGAGGAGGGGGAGAAGGAGGAGGGGGAGGAGGAGGAGGAGGAGGAGGAGGAGGAGGAGGAGGAGGAGGAGGAGGAGGGGGAGGAGGAGGAGGAGGAGGAGGAGGAGGAAGAGGAGGAGGAGGAGGAGGAGGAGGAGGAGCAGAGTGAATGCAAAAGATGAGGAGTGAGGAGGGAGGAAGAGAACGGGAGCATGAGGAACGAGAAGGAGGGAGCGGGGGCGGCAAGGCCGCGGCCCAAGGTGTGTTGGCAAGCCGGAGCAGGAGACAGGTTCTGGGTTCTGGGTGGGCGATTGCGTAGAATCCTGCCAGCCCTGTCGAGAGCGGAGCATTGACGAACGAACAGCACACACCCATACCCATAGGCGGCTCGGAAGGAAGAGGACCGGCTAATTATGGGTATGGGTACGGCTTGTCGGACCCTTTTGGGAGGCTCCCATTCGAGCGGGGACCCCCCTCCGACAACACGCACCCACAGCCCCCTCCGTCCCACCAGTGGGTGTGGGTGCGTAGTGCTCGTTCGTCAAACATCGGCCGCCCAGGGGGAGGATGTGGATGCGGAGGAGGAGGCGGAGGCGGAGGAGGAGGCGGAGGCGGAGGAAGAGGAGGAGGGGGAGGAGGAGGACGAGGAGGAGGAGGAGGAGGAGGAGGAGGACGAGGAGGAGGAGGACGAGGAGGAGGAGGAGGAGGAGGACGAGGAGGAGGAGGAGGACGAGGAGCAGGAGGAGGCGGAGGAGGAGGAGGAGGAGGAGGAGGACGAGGAGGAAGAGGAGCTCCTGCTGCCGTGGAGGGTCGAGCCGAGAGCGCTCCGGCGCCGCGCCGCGGAGGCTCTCACCCAGAGGCCGAGGAGCGCGCGCTGCGGGCACGGGAAGAAGAGGAGGGGCAGCAGCAGCGGCACGACGACGCTGCTCCTGCGCCATCTGTTCTGCCTCGCGTCTCGTCTGGTGCGCTCACCGGGGTGTTTTTGACGGGGCCCCGGGCCACACGCAAAGAAATACACACAAGTAACCGGATTCCCAATCTGTTCCCATATGTGCTGGGTTTCTGTCTTCCCCCCACTTCCCATACGTTCCCATATTTTCCTGGGGGTCGACGATTAATTGTGCCTGCGTGTTTCTTTCTCGCCTGAGCTTTTTCCATGTAACATAGGAAGGAGCACTGCGTAAATATAAACTTTCGACGGCCCCCGACCATGTCCTGGATCTGCGCTGGACAGGGGCTGTGCCGGAGGCCCGCCGGGGGGGGGGGGCCCAACGCAGATCCAAGAAACCCATGCGGTACGTCGAAAGTTGATGTTTATGCCGCTTCTTCTGATTATTCGCATTATTATGCTTAATCCTCTCATTGCGATTCGCATTATTCTTACGATTCGTCTTAACATCCTTATTACTATTACTACGATGCTTACGATTATTCTTGTTACTATCGATAACTCTTATGACTATCAGTCTTCGTCGATGTTTCTTCATGTTGCATCGCCGACGTCGGTATCAAAACGCTTCAACCGACGTCGTCGTCGTCGTCGTCGTCGTCGTCGTCGTCGTCGTCGTGGTCGTCGTGGTCGTCGTCGTCCTCAACGTCAACGTCGGCTTCGTCATCGTCGCCGTCGTCGTCGTCGTCCTCGTCGTCGGCGGCTTTGTCGGCGTTGTCGTCGTCCTCGTCGGCGGCTGAAGTCTGCTCGACATAAAAAAAAAAACGCAACCAGCAACTGGAGGGGGAAGGGGCGGGGCCCCGCGGCCAGAGCGCGGGCGGCGAGCGGTCCTCCCTTTCTCCGCAGGGCGCTGGCCCCCTCCTCGGACGCCTGGGCGGGGTGGCAACGCTGTGGCCCTGCACCGCCTCCTCCGCACCCTCCTCCTGCAACGAGTCCTTCTGCGTCCTCCTGCGTAATCACGATGTCTCCCGCTGGGCAACAGGCACCACAAAGGAAAAGAGGGCTGCGGCGCTCCGCCTCCTCCATACTCCTGTCGCACCCCGATGCATGTCGGTACGGCGGGCTGGGCGTTTCGCCTGAGACTTCCTTACCGTTGGTGATATGGAGGCTTGGATTCTGCAGCAGCTTCACGGATGAAGGGCGGGCCGCGTCCAAAATGTGGCTCGCGCATTACCGCCGCGCAGATTCGTTATACATATTTGCAACAGTTTCACGGATGGAGGGCGGGCCGCTTTCAAAACGTGGTTTTCGCCTTGGCGTCGCGCACATTCATTATAACAAGTTGCAAGAGCTTGACGGGTGGAGGGCGGTCCGCTTTCACAATGTGGCTCTCGCATTAGCGCTGCGCACATTTGTCCTCAGCATGTGCAAATCAAATTTCACTTTTGGGGGGCCAGGGACGGACCACCTGGCCACCTGCTGCGCCGCCTACCCGCGTCTCAACCGCCACCGGATGGTCCCGCCAGGGCGTCCCTTCACCCTGAGGTGCACGCCTGATCGGCAACCCCAACATGCCGCCGCAGCTGCCGCCACGTCCCTCCGCATCCTCGTTTCTACTCTCCGTGAGCCCCGTTCTGTTGTTCTCCCACCCCGACTAGGCGATGCTCCTACCCCTCATCTGGACGGACCCCCTATCCTTTACTTTGCGTTCCTTTCTACATTCGCCGCCCCCACCCAGTGGCGAAGGCCACTTGGGGTGGGGGTATGGCAGCGGTCGCCACCGAACTCCCCAACGTCATCACAATCGCGAGGCGAGGCGGAGGTGGAGGAGGGTGGGTGGAGGGAGCTGGGCAGGAGGTGCAGGTGGCGACGAGGAGGCCGGGGAGGGGGCCGACGGGGGAGGCCTCGAGGAGCCGAGGACGCGAGACGCCGCCTGAAATCACCGACCGGCGCACGGTCCGGAGCGGCGGCCGCCGCCGCCAGCGTCACGAGACTCGACGCCGAAGGGGTGTCTGTCGGGGGCGCCGACGTCCCAATACTACCCATCGGTCGGAAGATGTAGGTAGAACCACGAAGTAGGAAGGCATTGGAAGTAGATTGGGCCTCCGCCCGCCCCCTGATGAGGAGGGAAGGAGGAAGCCAGTCGATCCTTGAAGTAGGAAGGCGCCAAAAGTAGATTGGAATCTGGGAGTCCAAAAATACATACTTTCAACGACCGATAGGTACTTACGGGTGGAGAGGGGCAGGCGGCGCGGGGGCGGAAAGGTAACAGGCCGAAGTCGACCTTAGCCAGCGGAACTGGCCATGTGCGATCCGCCAGGCGCGTCGAGTGGCGACGGCGGTTCGAAGATGACCTCCCTCTGACACGAGGGGAGCCCGAAATTGGCGGGGGGGACGGGAAACACTGACTTGGAACCGACGAGACATCGCAGGTAGGGTGACCCCCATGTTCCTGGGCAGGTTGGGACACCCGAGCCCCGGTCGGCGATCTGCGAGGCATGGGCGATTTGTGGCCGCTGCCCCCCCCTCTGATCCAGTCCCCTTTCCCCCCGTCGCTGCCCCTGATGGCGTGGCGCCCCGAGCTCTCCTCGCAAATTTCTCGGCTGTGCAGGGAGCGCCTGCAAGCAACACACACTTGCATCATCGTACACTTCCGAAGGGCCGCGCGGATTTCTTGGGTCGGTACTGACCACCCCTGTGGCGCGCGGAGCGTGGGACCCAGCGCAGCTCCGAGCATCCCGCGGGGACCTTCGAAGGTCCTTGCTTATGCCGCTCCATCTCTCTCGATGAACGGGCACGGGCAGCCGCCGAGAGCCCAGGACGCCCAGAGAGGACGGGGCCGAACGGCAGGTGGAGGCCGCAGTAGGAGGGGCAAGGGCTCAAGGTGGAGGAGCGAGGCACAGCCGGGACAGCTCAGCTGGGATGCCTGTTCCTCCCGTCGATGCGCTCGAAGGGTTGGAATGCACGGCTCCATCGGCGCAGCCAAACGACGACGGCGACGACGATGACGAGAAGACGAAGACGACGACGACGACGACGATGACGAGAAGACGAAGACGACGACGACGACGACGGACGACGAGAAGACGACGGCGACGACGATGAAGACGACGGCGACGACGGCGACGGCGACGGCGGCGGCGGCGAGGCCTTCGCCTGCACGTGGTCGGCGAGGCTGGAGCCGCTCGACGCCGCCGCGCCCGAGCTGTAGGCGGCCAGCTCGCCGAGCCTCCCAAAGCCAGAGGGGGTGCGGGCGCTCGAGCCCCGCAAGCCGCCTCGTCGTCCTCGCCCTGGCCCTCGTCCTCGCCCTCCTCCACCTCCACCTCCTCCTCCTCCTCCTCCTCCTCCTCCTCCTCCTCCTCCTCCTCCTCCTCCTCCTCCTCCTCCCCCTCCTCGTCGCCCTCCTCCTGCAGAGGCCGCGGCGCGGGTCCGGCGCCGGCGCCCACGCTCCGCGGGCCCCGCACACGACGAAGCGCACGACGAGCCGGCAGGGCACGGCGGCTCGCTCGGAGCCCCGCCCTGAGAGAGAGAGAGAGAGAGCCACGGAAGAGTCCTACAGGGGGGGTGGGGCGTCCGAGACTGCCCTTCCAAGAGCCGTTTCGCCGGAGGCCTGCTCACCGTTGATGCAAGAGCCGTGCTCTCGCCGCCATGCCGGCGGCATTTCCGGCTCGGGCGGCCACGATCCCTGGCAGCAGGGCACGTGCTCAGGTGCACATGGCCGTGCTCTCACCTGCTGCTGGTGGTGTGATCCAACCTTTGTTGCTGAGAGGGTGCTTCGCTGGGGCAGCTTGTTCAAACGCTTTTCTTGCTTCCTAGTTTGGGCCCCAGGGCCTGAGGGTGCAGCTTTCGGGACCCGGGGCAGCTTTCGGGTCGGGCCCTGGGACCATCAAGCATGGGCGGCCCACGGCGCAAGCCTCGCCCCCCGTGGGAAGGGGTCGAGAGCTCTTAGGGCCGCGGGCGGCAACAAATCATGTCCGAGGGGAACTGGAGAGGCCTCTGGAAGCTCTGGAGGCTAGAATGACTCTCAAAGCGTTCCACATCATAGATCCTCGAACCTCGGTCCGCGAGGGGCTAGAACCAAACCCGTTCTAAGATCTACTCTGGAGCCCTCCCTGATTCCACCCTTGCCGTTGTGTTCGAGCTGTGCCCAACGGTGGAGAGGAAAGGCTCCCAAGAGCCTCAGCCTCGGGAACGAAAAACCTGGACCCGCTCGTCTGGCCGACGTGGGTACGAAAAGCCTGGTACGATGCCCAACAAGAAGCATTGTCCCAAAACCGGCAGGGACCGATGTTGTGCAGGCGACTTTTTGTCTCAGGTGGATAACGTCGGTGGCGACACCGACAGCAAGTCCTGTCAAACATTACCCCAGCAAAGCACCCTAATAGCAGCAAGTGTGAAGAAGCAGGTCGAAGAGTCCCAGAGAAAGGACAGATGCAGCCAGGACAGGGGTCAGAGCACGGCCATGTGCACCTAATTAGTGTGTTGGTACCAGGGATGACTGGGGTGAGAACACGGCCCATGTGCACCGTTTTGTGTTCTTACCCGGGAGCGTGGCCGTCTGGACCAACCGTGTACACTCGACCAGGATAGTAAGGATGCGCAGTAAGAATGCAAGGGCCTTGGAACGCCATGTTGACGTTTTCCGCGCGGAGCGCAGCAGAATACCGATGGATGCCGAATACCGAAGGGGCAAGGATGCAGGGGCAGCCTTGGAAAGTTGCCCCATCCTCACCATCATGGCTGACCGTAGCCACCGCTGCGGCCAAAACGCCCGTTCTCGGTACATTCGGAAGGCGTCTCGGTCGAAACGGCTGCCGCGCCGGGCGCTCTGGGGCTCCCCGTCCCCCCCCCCCCCGGTGGGACTCCTCTGCGGTTCTTCTGTGTCCGTGAGGGCTTCGCCCCCTGCCGCCGGCCCCCCCCCCTCTCTCTATCACAGTGGGCTATCTCAGAGCCGCAGCGGTGCGTCTCGACGCTGCCTTGGCGCACCTGGGAACATCCTGCGGGGGCGGATAGGAATCATCAACGCACGTTGGGGCGTTGGCGTCATCGAAGACGCCTACGGCGAATCACCGCCGCTCCCTGCCTTTTTGGAAGCGCCTGCGTGGCCGAAAGTTGGGTTTGAGCTTGGCCAAGCTATCGGGCCACGCGTTCCCCGAGTGGGGGGGGTCGAAAGCTTTCGGGGAACACGGAGTCGGGCGAGCTATCGGACCAGGTGGTTTCCGAGCTTTCGGGTTTCCTGGAGGACGTCTTGGAGGGCTCTTGGGGCGTCTTGGAGGCCTCTGGCGGGCCTTTTGGGCAGTCTAAGGCTATCTTCAGGCCATTTGCGGCCGTCTTGGGTGCATCTTGGGGCCATCTTCGCCGTCTTGGAGGCCTTCTTAGCCGTCTTGGAGGCACCTTGGAGGCCATCTTGTCTGTCTTGGATGCCATCTTGGGCGTCTTGGGGACCTTGTGGGCCGTCTTGGGGTCTTGTTGGGGCCATCTCGGGGGTCTCTTGGGCTGTCATGGGGCCATCTTGGAGGCCTCTTGTGCGCTCTTAGGGCGATTTTGGAAGCCTCTTGGGCCGTCTCGGGCCGTCGAAGAGCTGAAAAGACGAAAATGCCAAAATCCTTCAAACACCTGAGGATAATCAATGAATTTCGCCCTTTCGGGCCTTCCTGGAGGACGTCTTGGAGGCCTCTTGGGGGCCTCTTGGCCAGTCGTAGGCCATCTTGGAGCCGTCTTGGGCCGCCTTGGAGACTTCTTGGACGAACTTGAAGGCATCTCGGACTCTCTCGGGCCGTCTTGGAAGCCATCTTTGGCGACGTGGACGCCATATTGGGCCATCTTGGACGCCATCTTGGGCCATCTTGGAGGCCATCTCGGGCCAACGCAACCATCTTAGAGGCCATCTTGAGCCGGCTTGGAAAAGTGTTTGCGGTCGTTGAGGTCGTTGCGGGGCCTTTCGGGGACCCCGGCGGGATCGGTCGAAATCCCGGCGGGAGTTCTTTTGGAAAAGAACCAGAACCAACATCGAAAGGATCTAGCTCGCCGGCTACCCCAGTGGCAAGCCAACAGTGGGCGGCGGATCGAAGACGCCTACGGCGAATCACGGCCGCCCGCTGCCTTTTTGGAAGCGCATATGTGGCCGAACGTTGAGGCCAGACCTGCCAAGCTATCGGACCATGTGTTTGCCGAATCGGTTTGGAAAGCCTTCGGGGAACACGTGGGCATCTTGAAGGTCATCTTGTCTTTTCTCTTGGGCCGTCTTGGAGGCCATCTTGAGCGTCTTGGAGGCCTTTTGGCCCGTCTTGGGGCCCTCTTGGGGCCGTCTTGGGCCGTCTTGGACAGCGGGAAGGCTTAAAAGAAGCATATGTCCAAATCATTTCAACACCAATGGAAAATCAATGATTTTGGCCTCTTCGGGCTCTCCTGGGGGACCTTTTGGCACCCTCTTGGGCCATCTTGAGGCCATCTTGGAGCCATCTTGGCCCGTTTTGAAGCTCCTCGGACGATTTAGAACCAAAACCAAAACCGAAATCGTCTAGCACGCCAGGCACCCCTACGATGAATCGACAGGGGGCGGCGGATCGAAGACGCCTACGGCGAATCACCGCCGACCCCTGCCTTTTTGGAAGCGCATGTGTGGCCGAACGTTGAGGCCAGACCTGCCAAGCTCTCGGACCATGTGTTTGCCGAATCGGTTTGGAAAGCCTTCGGGGAACACGTGGGCATCTTGAAGGTCATCTTGGCCGCCCGGATGCCATTTTGACCTTTCGGGCCTTCTTGGAGGACGTCTAGGAGGGCTCGTGGGCCGTCTTGGAGGCCATCTTGAGCGTCTTAAAAACCTCTTGGGCCGTCTTGGGGGCCTCTTGGGGCCGTCTTGGGCCTCTTGGGCGATCTTTGGGGGCACTTGGGCCGTCTCGGGCCGTCGGAAAGCCGAAAAAGAGCAAGTGCCACAATCCTTCAATTACTCATGGAAAATCAACGGTTCTTTCTTTTCGGGCCTTCCTAGAGGCCCTCTTGGAGGCCTCTTGGGCTGTCTTGGGTCATCTTAGTGCCATCTTCGGCAGCCTTGGTGGGCCCCTGGCCCGTCCGACGCCGTCGGAAGCAGGTTGGGGGGCCTCTCTGAGCCGACTTGGGGCCCTCTTGGAATGCTCCAGGGCCGTCTTGGAGGCCATCTTGGGCGTCTTAAAAGCCTCCCGGGCCGTCGTGGGGGCCTTTTGGGGCCGTCTTGGGGGGCTCGGCCGTTCTGGGGCCATCTTGGAGGCCTCTTGGGCGATCTTTGGGCGATCTTTGGGGGCTCTTGGGCCGTCTCGGGCCGTCGGAAGGTCGAACAACAAGCAAATGCCACAATCCTTCAAAAACGCATGGGAACTCAATGATTTGGCCTTTTCGGGGCTTCCTGGAGGAGGCCCTCTTGGGCCGTCTTGGGCCAGCTTCGAGCCAACTTCGGCCATGTTGGTGAGCTCCTGGCACGTCTGACGCCGTCGGGAGCCGTTTGGGGGGCCTTTCTGGGCCGACTTGGGGCCTTCTTGGGGTGCTCCAGGGCCGTCTTAGAGGCCATCTTGGGCGTCTTGGAGGCGTCTTGGGTCTTCTCTGTGCCCTCTTGGGGCAGTTTTGGGGGCCTCTTGGGCAGTCCTGAGGCCATCTTGTAAGCCTCTTGGGCGCTGTGGAGGCGATCTTGGGGGCGTCTTGGGCCGTCTTGAGACGTCGGAAACCCAAGAAGTTCCAAATGCCACAATCCTTCAAACACCTATGGAAAATCAATGATGTTGGCCTCTTCGGGCCCTCCTGCGAAACCTCTTGGAGGCCTCTTGGGCCGTCTTGGAGGCTTCTTGGGCGAACTTGGAGGTATCTTGGACCCTCTTGGGCCGTCTGGGAGGCCATCATGGACCATTTGGGCGAACTTGAGATCATCGTGGCCGTCTTGGAGGCATCTTGGAGGCCATCTTAGGTATCAGGGCGGTTTTAAAAACCATCTTGAGCCGTCTTGAGGCCCTCTTGGAGGCGTCTTGGGCTGTCTTGGGGTGGTCCTGGGAGCTTCTTGAGCCGTCTTGGAGCGTCGGAAACCCGAACATTTCAGAAAACCAAGATCGTTCAAACACCGTCGTAAAATCGACGATGTTGGCCTCTTGGGGCCCTCTCGGGAGGCCCCGTAAAGCGCTCTTGGGGCCTCTCGGGGCCCTCTTGGGCCGTCTTGGGACCATCTTCGGGCACATTGGGGCGCTCTTGGCATCGGCACTGCGAATACGGCGTAATCTGCCAAGGTTTCTGGTCTCGGGAACGCGATTATGGTGTAATTTGGAGATGGTGTGGCCTCGGGGATGCAAACATAGGGAACCCACAAAAGACGTACGCGCCCAACGATGTACCTGAGCACGGCCCCTCGATCCGCGAGACCGGCCGCGTGATACGAACATTCGCGCAATGCGTACACGTCGTTCGTTTCTAATCGTGTTCATTTCTAATCGTGCTCGTTCCTGGCCCCCTAGTGGCCAGGAAGAGGCCCATGATAGAACACTTAGAAATTAAAAGATCCTGGTCCCCAAAAACTTAAAGAACTTTCGAAGACTTAGAAATGAACACTGCGTACTCTCGAAACCAGCGTGGATCTACGTACGTGTACGTCCTCTTAATGTCGCTCTTGAGAACATTAAAGTGTTTGCCAAGGCGTGTGGCCTCGTGGCCGCGCGACTACCGTGTCATCTGCGAGGGGGTCGCGGCCTCGTAGCCGCGCGAAACTGCGGCATAAATTTGCGAGGGATCGTGGCCTCGGGCACGCGAACGTGGCGCCACTGACGCGGGATCGTGGCCTCGGGGGCGCGGACGTGACGCATTTTGCGCAGGGTTCTGGTCTCGGAGGCGCGAATCTCATGTCTGCTCACGTGTCCCACACGCCCCCCCAGAAATTCAGGCACCGCGCCCAGGGCGTGGCAACTTGGCTGGTTTTCGGCTCCCCCCCCCCTCGCGCGGACAGTGACAATTGACAGTCGGAAGCCGAAAGCAGGACTGCAACATTGGAAACTGGAAGCTGGAACTGGTGCAGGGAGCAGCAACCCTCAGCCTCCCAGCCTGGTGGCCCCACAAGGGGGCTGGCGGATCTTCCCACAGAGCCCGCTGGCGGAATGCTACTGCAGTGGAGGCCAGTCCACAAGAAACCTTCCACAAGAAACCCAACCCTGAGACCCCAGGACGTCCACCGATTTGCGGTGCGGGAGCGTCGCCCAAGAGGCCCAAGGGCACCCTGGAGGCAAGCAGGGTGCTTCTTGACATGGGCCCCCACTGTAGGGAGTGGGCAAGAGCTGCTGCTGGCCGCCGTGCCCATTCTGCCCGTTCCCGCCTCGACCCCACCCGAGGCCTGGGCCCGGCAACGCGCAAGAGTGGCCGCAGTGAGTGTGGGTGATGTGAGCACCAGCGGGCCATCGCGTGTGACTGTAAGGGAGAGGGGGTGAAGCGTAGCTTTGAACATCGACCCAGAGGTCGGGAAGCACAACGTTGTGACTTGGAGGTGGTTGGGGGGACTGAGCTGAATGGGCTCCGAGGAGATCGGTCAAACCGACTCACAATCTACAGTATTCGGCCTGACCTAAGGAACGAAGAATAAGGAACGAAACCCCTTATTTTTCCAAGTAAGTCTAGGAATTCCGAGGGAACTCCAGGGGGACTCGCCGCCAAAAAGGTAGCGGAATGTATGCAAACCGAAGGAACGACCGAGCCCCTTGTGAAAAGTAAGAGCTCCTTACTCAAGCCGGATCCTGTATCCCCCCCCCCCTCCGGGATCCGTCTGGTGCACTTTTTCACCCCGGATCCGTTTTTTAGCCCCAGGGCCCGAAAATTGTCATTGGAGGCGGGAAAAAACAGGAATCCTTCTCGAACCCAGAACCTCGCACTTCGCCCCCCCTTCCCGCTGGCCAGAACCAGTGCTGGGCCACCTCAGACCTCCAGCCGACGCCACGATTGAGAGGTCGGGAACGGCAACGATGTGCCAGCGCACACAGCCGATCACTCGAGAGGCGGCCTTCTTGCCGCGCCGGCCTCTGCAGCAGGCTGTCGTTGTCGTCGTTGTCGTCGTCGTCGTCGCTCATGGTCGCTTGTCGTCGTCGTCGTCGTCGTCGTCGTCGTCGCTCGTCGTCGCTCGTCGCCGCTCGTCGTGCGCGGCGCCAGGGGGCAGTGGCCCGCGCCAGGAGGCCACTCCTGCGAAGGGCCCTCCCCTCTGGCGCCCCGAGGCCTGCCCCGGGGGCCCAGCCGTGCCCACGAGGGCCCTCCAACCGGGGGCGCGCAGACATGGACTGGCGCTCCACGGATCTGGCGCGCGGTCGCCAAGTCCACGGAGCGGGGGAGAGGCCCTCCCCAGAATGCGGCCGGCGCCGCCTCGCTCGGCGGCGGAAGTCCGCGAGTTCCCACGGAAACGGGACTCGCCGGATCCAAGGCGAGCAGCGGCATGGGTCTCTCTTGCAGCGGAGGCCAGGTCCACAGGAAACCTTCCACGAGAAACCCATCCCTGAGACCCCAGGGCGTCCACTGACTTTTTGGTGTGGGAGCGTCCCGCGCGCCCTCGCAAAACCACCGAAGCCCAAGAGGCCCAGGGTCACCCTTGGAGGCAAGCAGGGTGTCTCTTGGCATGGGTCTCCACTGCATCCTCCTCTGAAGCTCGATCCTCGCAACATGGGCCGTCCCCCCCCACCCGAGGACGAAAAGCCAGGACGAGCATCACATCGGGCGAGGATCTATCGAGAATCTCTGAGATCCAGCGGCTCTGGAGGATGTCTTGGGCGCCGCTGCCTTCTCGGAGCGTTCTGGAACGCTCTGAGTGGGCCAGAAGTCAAACGACACCACTCCGCCTATTGAGCAGGGACGGGCCGTCCCAGCATTCCCATAGGCATACCACGACATGTTCTTAGAACCCCTACATGTTCTAAGAGCAAAAACAATGTTCTTAGAAGATAATTATTAAACCCGAATTGTTAAAACAAGACAGTCCCAGTCAGAAATGTTCGAAAAAACATTTCGTGCAGAGTAAAGGGCCGAACGGTCATTCATTGTCCCTGTGTGCGTGGCTGAATAGGGAATTGGTGGTGAGAACTCTGCTTATTGCGTTGTTGTCGTCGTCGTTCTTCTTGTTAGTGTTGTTATTGTTGTTGTTGGTGTTGTTGTTGTTGTTGGTGGTGGTGGTGGTGGTGGTGGTGGTGGTGGTGGTGGTGTTTGTCGTCGTCCCACCCGCGACCCACCCGCGACCCACCCCGCGACCCACCCCGCCCACCCCGCGACCCACCCCGCGACCCACCCACGACTCAACCTACGACCACCCGCGATCCACCCGCGACCCACCCGCGACCCACCCCGCGACCCACCCCGCGACCCACCCGCGATCCACCCCGCGACCCATCCGCGACCCATCCGCGACCCACCCGCGACCCACCCCGCAACCCACCCGCGACCCACCCTCAAAGGAGAAAAACCACCTGGACCCGACAATTGACGTTTACTAAACGGCCCTGGGCATTTACTAAGCAGCCCGGCCATGTTCGATTCATTCTTTGTCTGAATTTACTAAACGGCTTCGCTTGTCGGGGTGATTCTTACGGGGTGGATTTTCAGCCCTCTACACCCGCGACCCACCCGCGACCCACCCGCGACCCACCCGCGACCCATTTGCGACCCACCCGTGACCCACCTGCGACCTACCCACATTTTGTTAACGAAAAAATCGGCGCTTGCGGCGGGCTCGTTGTACAATTTGTGAAACTTTGGCGCCTGCGGCGGGCTTCTCCAGAGTCTCGCAAACTGCCGACGTCCCCACCGCCCCCTCACTCTTATCCGCATCTGCGCGGTGCTACGGTATGTTCTGCTGGGCCTATAGGCGAGCCAGGACGCTTCGCCACTGCTCGAACCTTCGGCCCCACGGGCCTCAGCATGTACCATGGACTCCGGCTCGGGCTTTTACGTGGTATGCGCCACGGCTGCGGCCCCCGAAGGGCCGTAGCGCAGCATGGAGGACCGCAGGTGGGCTGGTGTCCTTGGTTTTTGTTGGTCGACTGGGAGCGCTCCAGACCGCTCGCGAACGGGCAGACCCTGGGATCCGACGCAGCGAACAAGCTGCAACACCGTCAACAATCGCGCCCAGGGCCATATGGACCCCATCTCGCTGCGCCGTTCTCCGAGCCGCACCGATCTGTGCTGGTCCCGGGGCCCGGAAGAGGGCGAGCACGCCAGGCTCGAACAAACGGAGACGCCTCGTCCTGCTCGTCCTCCTGCTCGTCCTCCTCCTCCTCCTCCTCCCAGTCCTCCTCTCCTCCTCCTCCTCCTCTCCCCCTCCTCCTCCTCCTCCTCCTCCTCCTCCTCCTCCTCCTCCTCCTCCTCCTCCTCCTCCTCCTCCTCCTCGTCCCCCTCCTCCTCGTCCTGACCCCGTCCGACCTGTCCCCGGGGCCGGCCTCTGCAGCAGGCTGTCCGTGTCAGCGGTCGGCCCCGCCCCCGCGGCCTGCCCCGCGCGGCGGGGCGCGGAGGGGGCGGGCGCGCGCCCTCATCCCGGGGTGGCGGGGGGCAAGGGCGAGGGGGGGAGGAGGGCGGAGAGGCTCGGTGTTCACTCTGGGGGCCTTCCTGGAACCACTCGCTCTCCACTCGTGCGTCGAGGCTGCGCCGAAAGTCCGTCGGCCCGAGTCGAGCTGGAGTCGAACTTGAGTCGACCTTGAGCCGGGGCTGAGCTGAACCTGAGTCGAACTGGCAGCGAAACAGAGTCGACCTGGAGCCGAACTCGAGCCGAACAGATCCGCTGGGCGGGCCCCAGGAACGCTGCCAACACGAGCACCTGCGAGAGGGAAGGGGGACCAGGGACGAGGACAGGGGGTCCGCGTGCCAGCTCCGGTGGCCAGAGCGTGTCCCCTGGGGGGCAGAGGCGCATGCAGCAAGTGCATGCAGAGGGGCAGGCAGAGGTGCAGAGGCGCACGCAGGGGGGCCGAGGTGCACGCAGAGGGGCAGAGCTCCCTAGAGGGGCAGCGGTCCCCACAGGGGCACAGGTGCATGCAGAGGGGTCAAAAATGCACCAGGCGAAGCGCGTGCGCGGAGGGCCGCTCACGCATCCAACGAACCCCTCCCATCTCAGACGAGGCCGCCCTACATATCGTTGGGCTTCTATTCAACAGGGCACGGGGAGAATGGGGGGGCAACCTTTTCAAGGCAGAGCGCCCGCAACACTGGCATTGACCTCTGAGCGCCTCAGCCCGAGGTGCTCTTCTCGCTCCTCGTGCAGGATTGCTGAGGCACTGGCGGATTCTCGTCCGACAGGGGCTTTGACCTCTCGCCGGTACGTTCCAGGACGGATCGAACCAGATGCGTCAGGCCGAGTCCACATTGTCACTTCTCCTCAGAGCGAGGAACAAGAAACGGCATAAACATAAACTTGTGGGGCTCCGCGCGGATTTCTCGGATCTGCGCTGGACCCCCCCTCGCCGCCAGGGCGCTCCACCGCTGACCTAAGAAATCTGCGTGGAGTGCCAACAGTCTATGTTTATGCCGCTTTCTCGTCTTCGATCAGAGCGAGGAGCGGAGGAGCCGCATCGCCAATGTATCGCCGATGCATCGGCGACGTCGGCGATGCATCGGCGACGTCGGCGCGGGGAAACGCGGGCTCCACATCGGGCCGCATCGTCGATGCATCGGCGACGCGGCGAGATCCTCCGACCCCACCTGCTCGGACCCCATCTAGGAGGCCCAGAGTCAGAGCGAGGAGGAGGAGGAGGAGGAGGAGGAGGACGAGGACGAGGAGGAGGAGGAGGAGGAGGAGAAGGAAAAAATGGAGGAGGAGGAGGAGGAGGAGGAGGAGGAGGAGGAGGAGGAGGAGGAGGAGGGGGAGGAGGAGGGGAGAGGAGGAGGAGGAGGAGGAGGAGGAGGAGGAGGAAGAGGAGGAGGAGGAGGAGGAGGAGGAGGAGGAGGAGGAGGAGGAGGAGGAGGAGGAGGAGGAGGAGGAGGAGGAGGAGGCGGAGGAGGGGATGAGGAGGAAGAGGAGGAGGCGGAGGAGGAGGAGAAGGAGAAGATGGAGGAGGAGGAGGAGGAGGAGGAGAGGAGGAGGAGGAGAAGGTGAGGGGGACAAGCTAGGTGCGCTCGCGTCATATCTGACATCCTACCCCTCCCTCCCATCCCTTACCATGGCGCAGATCCCCTCTCTACTCGCACAGTCGGATGTCGAGCAGGGCAATGATCCCGAAAATGTGCGCGATGCATTGTAGAGCACGGCGTGGCATGGCGTAGAAGAGCACCGCGAAGCGTAGTATCAACCTAGCATTGCATTGCATGCCGTGGCATGGCACGGGAAATGACGCCAGCGCTGCAGCGGGAGCACGAGTCGAAACGAGCGGAAACGCGGAAATGAGGCCAGCGCTGCAGCGGGAGCACGATTCGGAACGAGCGGAAGCACGCCGGAATCGGCCCAGAGAAGCTTCCCCGGGCGCCAGAAACAGAAATTCAACATTTTCAAAAGAAAATGTGTATTGGAATGGCCTTTTTCCGGCGCCGGCCGGAACCGGCTCCGGACCCGGCCCGGGCGCCGGCCCGGGCGCTGGCTCGGGCGTCCGGCCTGGGCGCCGGCTTGGGCGCCGGCCCGGGCGTCGGAATCGGCCCAGGAGGCCTCCCGGGCGCCGGGAACAAAAATTCAGCATTTTCAAAAGAAAAATGTATTAGAATGGCTTTTTTTCGGCGCCGCCTCGGAACTCGATTTTCCGGCGGCGGCCGGAACCGGCTCCGGACCCGGCGGCCCGGGCGCCGGCTCGGGCGTGCAGCCCGGGCGCCGGCGGAAATGATGCCAGCGCTGCAGCGGGAGCACGATTCGGAACGAGCCGGGCTCGAAAATGAGGCCGGCGCCTCAGCGAGAGCAGCATTTTGGAAAAAATGCAGGCGAAAACCCAACTCTGGGGAAACCTTTCCTGTAAAAAACAATACGCGGGGGGGGGGGGGCGAATATTCCCAAGACGTCATCAGGGGAAGAGGGAGAGTAGTATTCATATTGAGTAATTGTGGAGGAGCGAGGAGGAGGAGCGAGGAGGGGAGGAAGGAGGAGGAAGAGGTGTGGAGGAGAGAAGGAGAGGAGGAGGAGGAGGAGGAGGAGGAGGAGGAGGAGGAGGAGGAGGAGGAGGAGGAGGAGGAGAAAGAGGAGGAAGAAGAGGAGGAGGAAGAGGAGGAGGAGCGAGGAGGAAGAAGAGGAGGAGGAGCGAGGCGAGGGCCTGGCACAGGCGCCCAGCGCCTCGCGGAACGGCGGGACGGAGCCTCCCCCTCGCCCCTCGGCCTCCCCGGAGGCTCTCGCCCCTCGGCCCCTTGGGGCCGCCCGGAGAGCAGGGCTCGGGCCCCGCGGAGCTGGTCGCGGGGCCAGCCCGAGCCGAGCCGAGTCGAGAAGGAGGAGGAGGAGGAGGAGTCAGGAGTCAGGAGCATCGAGGATCCGTCCGGCGGGCGAACAGACCACGGCGACAGGACGACCTCGTCGCCACCCACACGCCCGCCTGTAGGGGGAGCGTGGGAGACGACGGGGCCGTCCAAGGCGCGGCTCCCGAGGGTCGCGGCCGCGCGGCTCCGAAGGGCCGCGACAGACCTCAGATGAGGTCGACATGGACGCCCTCCGCGACGAGGCCGCCGCCGAGGACCAATTGGGGCGTGCCGAAGCCGAACCCCACGACGCACGAGGGGGTGGGGAGACGGCTCCCGACCGCGAGCGGTCAAGGGCCCATCCGCCGCCCCAGGCCGCCCCCCCGTGCAGCCCTGGAACGCTGACTGACGGCGCGCGATAGCGCGCCCCGCTCCCGTGCCATGCGGGTGAGGTCTGCCACGGCCTCCATCAGGTTCACGGGGTCGCTCGGCGGCTCGATCGTCGCCGCGCGCACGAAGTCGCAGGCGTGCGAGAGCTCGCCGAAGCCCGCGAGCTGCGCCTCCGACCAGGCCGAGGGCGCACGCACCGCCACGCCAGGAGCCGCCTTCGCCACGGGCGCTACAAGCTCCAGCGGGGCAGCCGCCGTCGCGACAGCGTCACGATGGGCCACCCGCCGCACGGCGTCGGCCCACTCGTCATCCAGGTCATCAGCACCGTCGGCACCAGCAGCAACATCCGCGTCTCCCATCGCCCTCGCGGCAGCAGGCCCCGCGGGGGCCGCATCGGCCATGGCTACGACCTCCACCTCCATGCCGTCGAGGGCGTCAGGCGCGCCAGCGCCTGCCGCCATGCGCGCCGCCCTCTGCTGGCGCCGCCGCCGCCGCCTCGCGGAGCGCGCCGCGGGGTCGGCGGCAGCGCGAGGAGCGCAGCGGACACCGCGGAGCGCGCCACAGCCGCAGCCGTGCGCCTCAGCATGCCAGCAGCACCGCGCACCGCCGCCTCGACCAGGGCAGCAGGGCGGCGTCCATAGCCCGAGCTCCTCTAGCACATCGCGCGGCGGCCATAGCAGGGACGACCGAGGCAAGGGGCATGCGAACGCTTGAGCCAAAATGGCCACGGAAGGGAGAGGAGGAGGAAGAGGAGGAGGAGGAGGAGGAGGAGGAGGAGGAGGAGGAGGAGGAGGAGGAGGAGGAGGAGGAGGAGGAGGAGGAGGGGGGGGAGAAAGGAGGAGCGAGGAGGAGGAGGGAGGAGGAGTGAGGACGCACACATCGGCCATCGGCGATCGGAAACGGCTCGGACATGGCCACCGGGCCGTCCCGAAGCCCACCGACATCGGGGGCCGCCGCGCCTGACTCCGGCTGGCGTGGATAGGGGGATTACACGTGGATGCTAAGGTGGGCTATATCTGGCCCAATCTGGCTCAGAAGTGGGTTACATCTGGCCGCTAAGGTGGCGGAGCCCAATTAGTCCGGATAGTCAAACCCCCCAAGCTACTCAAGGCACTCGTAACCCACTTATAAGCCAGGCTGGGCCACATGTAACGCACCTTGGCATCCACGTGTAAACCCCCCTATCCCCTTAGAACCCCCCGCTGACTACCTACCAGACCACCCCAACCCAACCCGAAGACCCGAATTTGACCCGAATTTCGGGTTGGGGGGGGTACGGATACCATGTGTTTTTTCAACGTTCCCCGACCCCCCCCCACTGGAAATCGAGGATAAATTTGGGCCTTCGGGTTGGGTTGGGGTGGTTTGGTGGGTGGTGACCCACGGTCATCCCAGCAGGGAGTCGATCGGCACTGCATCGGGTCGGCAGCGTGGCCTCTGCCGGCGAACCGGCCCGCATCGGCTCGGAACGCAGGCGGCCCGACGAGGCGGCATCGAATCGGATCGTGGGCGCCCCGCGCCTCGAGAAGAGCGAGCTGCCGGACGTCGTGGGGCGGGGTGTCGTGGGGAGGGGCCTCGCCCTCCTCCTCCTCCTCCTCCTCCGCGAGAGAGGAGCGAAGGGAGCCCTGGACAGTCGACGTGCTTTTTTTGTTGTCGTCCCGCGCGGGGCCCCCAGAAGCTCCGACCCGCTCCCTGCAGGCGGTCCCGGGGCCGGCGAATGCCCGCAGAGGTCGAGAACGGTCCCAACATGTCCGTCGCGCTCGTTCTCGCAACGCGAGCGTCTGGGTACTTCAACGAAGCCGACGGCAATGATGGAGGTGCTGAGCGGGACACATGTGCTGAGGCGGATATGGACAACGACAGGACTCAGGATAAGGATGCAGTTGGAGATAGTGAGGAAAACGCTGTCTCCAGAGGTACCCGTGAGGCTCCCGTGCGCACAACAAATGCAGCAGCATGTGTTCTTGATTCTTGGTCATCTAGGATGCGGAGAGGGGAAGAATGATCAGTAGGAGGACGAGGCTCCTCCCAAGCCTGGGCGGCGGATCGGCGTACCTTCACCTTCAGGACAGGCATCATCACCTGTCGGCACATGTCTCCTACATCTGTTCGCTTCACCCTCTGCACACAATCTCCTCCTCCTCCTCCTCCTCCTCCTCCTCCTCCTCCTCCTCCTCCTCCTCTACCTCCTCCTGCCAATCATTTCACAAGCAGTGCTTCCATCCGCGGACGTCTACTTATGATCTAAGGAGCTGGCCCTGTGGGCAGTGGTCGGCAGTTTGCGCGTTTGGGTCGACATGACTTGGGTTTGTGCCCCCTGCTTGGTGCCCTTCGATGCCCCACGGTTGGTGCTCGAGTGTTGGTGCCTCATGGTTCCCGACGACGGTGCCCTAGGATTGTCACCCTATCTATGGTTGGTGCCCCGAAGCCCCCCTGTGGTTGGTGGCCACTGGCGCCCTACGGCTTGTGCCAGATGGTCGGCACCCTGTGGCTCCGAGGGGTTGGCGCCTCACGGTGTGCAGTGTACGATGCCCCACAAGATGTGCCCCATCTCAGGGGGGAATCCTTCTTGTGATCAGGACCCTGGGGCCGTGGTCGGCCGTCCGCGCGCGGCGTGTGGGGAATCGGCATGGCCTCGGTCGATGCCCCGGTGGTGCCCGCTGGTTGGTGCCCCTGTGATTGGTGCTTATTCTGGTGCCCCGTCCTCCTCCTCCTCCTCCTCCTCCTCCTCCTCCTCCTCCTCCTCCTCCTCCTCCTCCTCCTCGTAACCTCTGGAGCGGCGCGACAACGCCCCCATCGTGCCCCAATGCGGCCCAGAGGGGCCGGAGCGGCCCCCGAGACGGCCTCCGAAGCTGTCAGACGAGCCAAGGACGAACTGAGAAGGCCCAATCTGCTCCCACAGTGTAGGAGTCAACCCGTAGCACCAAGGATGCGCGGCAAGGATGCAAGGGCCTTGGAGGGCCACGTTGGCGTTTTTCGAACGAGGTTGGCCAGCGAGAGTCGCTAAGGATGGGCCAAAGGGGCAAGGATGCAGGGGTATCCGTGGGAAGGTCGCTTATCCTTACCATGTGGGTTGAGTGTGCAGTGGAGGCCAGTCCAGAAGAAACCTCCCGCAAGAAACCCAACCCTGAGACCTCAGGGCGTCTATTGATTTTTTGTTGTGGGAGCGTCACGCTGTCCCTAGCAGAACCATCGCAACCCAAGAGCCCCAGGGCACCATGGAGGCAAGCAGGGCGTGGGCATGGGTCTCCACTGCATCCTCCTCTGAAGCTCGATCCTCGCAGCCTGGGCCGTCCCTCCTCCCCCCCTGCTGGGACGAACAGCCAGGGCGAGAACCCAATCGGGTGAGGATCTATCGAGAACCTCTGCGATCGCCCCTCCTCCCCAGGGCGGGCCGACTGTCCCCCCAAGGGCTCCCCAGAAGAGGCCCCGAGGAGCCCCCCCCCCCACGAGGGAAGCCCTCTCCCCCCGAGGCGGCCGCCCGAGTGAGGGCGGCGGCGTCGCGCGGCGGCGCAGCGGGGCATCGGATGTGTGTACAGGGCAGTTTTTAAGACATGGGGTTTTCAAAAATACTGGATTCTAGTATATGATTAATGTATGAATGAATTTATGCATGAAATCATCGTTGTTTTTAGTACTGAATCCCTGAATTTTTAATACATGATCCGCACGCGGAGCATGTATAAAAAACGGCACTGTACGGTCCCCTGGGGCTCGCGGACCCCCCGCCCCGCCCCCGTGCGCCCCCCTCGTGCGGGCAGCCACTGCGACGGAGGGACGGGGGCAGGGCCGGGGCAGGGCCGGGAGGGAACCGAGGGAGAGAGCAGGAAGGGGGGGGGGGGGGGGGAGTGCGACGGGGAGGCGGGGTGGGAAGGGGGGGGGGGGGGCTGGGGGGGAGGGGGGGGGAGGAGGCAGGCAGAAACGAGGGCGAGGAAGGGCGGGGGTGGGGGAGGGGAAGGGAGGCAAGGGAGGGCGCTTGGAGAAGGGATGGATGGATGGAGAGCCTTCCAAACTGTGGATCAGCATCACAGTGCTTTCGAATTCGGGTTCGCCACTGGGTGGTGACTGTGGGTCATCATCATCATCATCATCGTCATCATCAGCATCATCATCATCATCATCATCATCGTCATCATCATCATCATCATCACCATCACCATCACCATCACCATCACCACAACCAACATCATCATCATCGTCATCATTAGCATCGTCATCAACATCATCATCATCATCATCATCAGTAGCATCACCATCACCATCACCATCACCATCGCCATCGTCATCATCAGCAGCAACATCATCATTACCATCCGCATCACCATCATCACATCATCATGAACACCATCATGATCATCATCAGCATCAGCATGATACTCATCGTCATCAGCATACTGAGCATCATCCGCATCACCATCCCGATCATCAGCATCACCACCACCACCATCGTCATCATCATCATCGCCACCACCATCATCATCAGCAGCATCAGCATCAGCATCAGTATCATCATAATCACCATCACCATCATCATCATCATAATCATCATCATCATCATCATCATCATCATCATCATCATCATCATCATCGTCATCATCATCATCAGTATCGCCCACATCATCACCATCACCATCAATATCATCGTAATCATCATCATCGTCGTCATCGTCATCGTCATCGCTACCATCACTATTACCAACATCATCACCCGTACCACACCATCGTCGCCGTTTTCGTTACCATCGCTACTGTACTCGCCATTATCACCATCACCATCACCATCACCATCACCATCACCATCACCATCACCATCGCCATCACCATCACCATCACCATCATCGTGATCCAGCGCCGCTCGGCCTCCATCCTCACCCCGGGGCCCGCCGCCCCCCAAACCCGCGTCCGCTCCGGCCGGCGCCGGGTCGCCGACAGGAGCTCGTCGAAGGGCATCTTCTTCAGGATCTCCCGGTGCCTCGCCGCCGCGGGCCCGGGCGAGGGGTCCGCGCGGCCAGTCCGCAAGGAGACGGCGGCGGCGGCAGGGTGGCCCAGGAGGCCCCCGAGGCCCCTGAGGCCTCGGGAAGCCCTGGGGAAGCCCCAGGAGGCCCAAGGGCGCTCCAGAGGGCCCCAGGGGGGAGGGACGAGAGGGAGTGGGGAGGGCGTGGGGAGAGGAGGGGAAGGGGAGGAGAGGGAACAGAGGGGGAAACCACTACGACTACTACCACTACTACTGCGACTACGACTACGACTACGAGGGCGTGGGGAGAGGAGGGGAAGGGGAGGAGATGGAACAGAGGGGGGATACTACTACTACTACTACTACTACTACTACTACTACTACTACTACTACTACTACTACTACTACTACTACTACTACTACTACTACTACTACTACTACTACTACTACTACTACTACTACTACTACTACTACTACTACTACTACTACTACTACTACTACTACTACTCCTACTCCTACTCCTACTCCTACTCCTACTCCTACTCCTACTCCTACTCCTACTACTACTACTACTACTACTACTAATAATACTAATAATAATAATAATATTAATAATAATAAGAATAATAATAATCATAATCATAATAATAATCATAATAATAATAATACGACAACGAGTCCTACCAAGGGAGAGGGGACGGATACCTCGCAGAGCTCTAGGGTCTTACCTGCAAGACCATTCCAGGAGCTCGGGCGCAGAATGCAGCTGGTTCTCGGACCTGCCTAGACTGGTCATTGTGACCACACGGGGTCGCTCTTTTGTAAGGCTGCTCAAGTTCGGTTTCCCCGAGCACACGCTGTATGCGGGAGTCCACGGGGCTCTCCCCCCTAAGCATAACCCCCCTTTTTGCCGCCCCCAAGAATAATGGCATGATACGATTGGCTCAGGATGCGTTCCAGGAATTCTGAAACTTCGCTTCTCGGCACCTCGCACAAGGTCATTCGTCCCTGGCCTGGCGGGACAACAGGACAACTGGGTAATTTTGGAACGCCATGACGTTTGTCCCCCCTGCGCATCATCGTCAGCAGCAGCATCACCACCACGATCACCATCACCATCCTGATCATCACCATCAGCATCAGCATCAGCATCCTCATCACCATCACCAAAGGCCGCCGCGCGCTCAGGCCATTGATGGAGCAGCGGCCTCCAGTCACCGCCCCCTCGCCCTGCCCGAAAGGCAGGGGGCCTCTTGACGATACCCCGCACACCGCCATGCCGCCATGGACGTGCTCCGGAGCGCGGGCGCCGCGCACCTGCTAAGCACAGGACTCGCTCGCTGACATCAGGAACATGGACGAGCGCATGACCCAAGCACCTGACCACCAGCCAGACGACGATGCCGATGCTGAAGTATTACGACACGCTGACATTGAACTACTGGACGCTGAGCTTCAACAACAACATCCTCACGAATACAGAGGGCCAGCACAGGCAGGATCACACCATGCGGCCCATGAATTGCCACCAGTTGAACAATTGCACGCTGAACGTGACTTGCCACTTGGACTACTACCCCCACACCCACACTGCGAAGGACTACTGGACGCTGAGCATCAATCCCAACATCATCACGAACATACAGGGCCAGCACATGCAGGATTACGACACGCGGACCCTGAACGACTGGACGCTGAACGTTTCACAAACACAGAGGGCCAGTACGTGCGGGACTGGACGCTGAGCTACATCTCCATGAACACAGAGGGCCAGCACATGAAGGATTACGACACGCTGACCCCGAACTACTGGACGCTGGACCACTACCTACACACCCAGCTCGCGAAGGACTACTGGACGCCGAGCGTCAATTCCAACTTTTTCACGGACATAGAGGGCCAGCACATGCAGGAGTACGACACGCTGACCCTGGACGACTGGACGATGAACTTCAATTTCAACGTCTTCACGAACACAGAGGGCCAGTACGTGCAGGACTACACCACGCTGCACCTGAACCGCCACCAGTGGAACAACTGCACGCTGGACTTGAATTGCCACCTGGACTTAAAGGTCGACATGAACGTGACCCTGGTGACGAGCGCCCTGATCATCAATTTCCAGTCCGACGACCCACCCACTTCTCTTCAAGGCCCATCGAACTCACCATCATGCTCCTCACCCTACAGCACCTGATGCGCACTGGTGTTCAAAGGGCAGGAATGGGACATGACACTGCAGATTATCAATACGCGGACCCGCTCGCTGAGCGAGTCTATCACCCCAGTCGGCGGAAGCTCGAGATCGATCACGACGTCAGCTCCACCATCATCCAGACTTTCGACATCGGCAAAAAAGGAAAAAGCCCCACTGGCAATGTGATTCAGGATATTCATGCATGCGTACGTTTATCTCACTGTTTCGACCATTTATGGCGATTGTATCTGAGGGTAGGACTCATACATAATGGAACTCAACACGCACAGAACATCGGTAAGCAGGACACCCTGGCCTCACTGGGCATTCACGGGGCTACGAAGAAGGCCGAACGGAACATCAAGATCATGCAGTTAGACATTTACGACGAACATGGCAAGCAGGTAGATGGCATCACGCGGGAGCACGAAAGCTACGAGCACATTATGGACTCCCTCAGGAAGAGCGGCCCCCCAGAGGACAAGAAATGCCTGCAGGGGATAGGGTCGCCAGCTCCGTCCCGCGCGCTGACGACCCTAGAAGGACTGTACAAGTGCGACGTGGGCGGCTCCATGAAGGGTGCCATCGAGGACATCGAGGCGGAGACGGAGATCAGCAAGGAAGATATCCTCGACGCCATCAACTTCGTGCGCCTGGAAAAGTGCTACGACCACGACAAGACGAAGCTGGTGATCGGCGCGCTATGCGCGCCCATGTGGGAGGGCCAAATCCTGATCAGCCGCGCCCTCGAGGCCGAGGGCCAGGCGGTCCACCACCGAGACGTGGGCCCAGTGGGCTGGCTCGAGGAGGAGGCTAGAGACGCTCGAGCAGTGAACCCGCCTTTTTCTGCCAGAGCGAGCCTGCAGGCCACAGTGCAGGCCACAGCGGAGAGGAGGCGTTTCAACGCCGCGTCAATTTCGTTCGAGGCAAAGACCTCCATGCCAGCAGCGGCACGGTCACGACCGGCCACATACCCTCCCTCCTCCGTCGTGCCTCCACTCCCCCCCTGCCGTGCCAGCACATCCAGAGGAGCTGTGTGAGGGGGAGGCCCCACCTGAGCATGATACAACCGCCGAAGAAGAAGCGGCCGAATATCTCAGCTAGCATTTCGACGCTGCTTGGCACGCGCTGCGCAGGAGGCCCCTCCGAGCAGCACCCTGGCAGTCTGGCCCAAGCGGGGCAACACGAGACAGTCGGCTCTCTGCAACGGATCACTTTAAATCTGGTTTCATTGTACACCATATATCCTGATATCAGATGTTGGTCCTGACGTCGAGGAAAAAAATCACCATCACCATCATCATCACCACCATCATCGTCATCTCCATCGTCGCCATCACCATCACTATCATGATAATCCTCCTCATCCTCATCCTCATCGTCGTCACCATCATCGTCACGATCCTCCTCTTTACCATCATCATCTCCACTCTCATCAGCAGCATCCACACCAACACATCATTCATTCATCAGCCGCATCATCACATTGACCATCATCACCACCATCATCGTCAACAACTCCACCATCACCACCACCATCACCATCATAATCAACGGCACCACCATCACCGTTGTCATTATCATCCTCATCATCGTCACCGTCACCAGAAGCATCACCATCGCCATGATCATCGTCAGACTTATCGCCATTATCGTCATAGTCATCGTCGTCGTCCTTCGAATCAACAGCATCACCACCACCATCACCAACACCACCATCACCAACTTCACCATCACCACCACAATTGGCAGCATCGCCATTACTATCACCATCACCATCAGCATCATCATCACCACCATTATCATCATTCATCGCTGTGTCATCGTTACCATCATTATCATCGTCATCATTATCACCATCATCATCACCGTCATCATCGTCGTAATGGTCGTCGTCATCAACATCATCAAGACACGTCATCATCAACATCATCAGCAGTTTCGTCATCAGCAGTATCACCAACATCAATATCAACGTCAACAACACCGTCACCATCATCCCCAGCACCACCCCCAATATCATCATCATACGCATCATCAGGTACATCAATATCAACATCCTCAACATCACCATCACCATCGTCAACGCCATCAGCATGATCATCATCATCACTAGCAACATCAGCATCACCATCACCAACATCAGCAACAACTTCACCATCACCACCATCGTCATCAACCTCATCATCAACATCGCCATCAGCAGCGTTAACATCAATATCATCATGATCAACAGCATCATCATCACCACCATCATCACCATTAACATCATCTTCGTCACCGCCATGATCAAAATCAATATCATCATGATCTGCATCATCACCATCTCCATCACCATCATCAGCACCATCATCAGTACCATCATCATCACCATCATCCTCATCGTTATCATCACCATAATCATAATCAACAACATCACCCGTCGTTCCCCATGACCCAGACAGGGCCAACGACATGTTCCGAAAACTTCCTTCTGGCCCCTCCTCCTCAGTATTCCTCCTCCATCCTTCTCCTTTTCCTCCTCCACCCCCTACCTCCTTCCCCTCGTCGATCCTCCTCGATCCTTTTCGATCCTCTTCCTCCTCGTCCTAATCCGCTTGTTTTTTCTCAAAAGCGCCCGGTCGCTTTTAACACAAAAGAAAAAATCCGCCGACTGCCTTGTGGGGCCACAAGGCTCCGCGGATGAGGCTTGCTACCCCCTGCTCCAGTTCCAGTGTCGAATAAGTCTCCCACATGGTAGTCCTACGTTCTGCTTCCTACTGTGACTTGTTGAAGTCTGCGCGAGGCGGGGGGAACGGTAAAGGCCCTAGGGGGTTCTCAGAATTTCTGGGGGGTCCTGGGAGACGTAAAAACACATAAGATTCGCACCCCCGAAGCCATAATCCGTGGTCGGGTTCCTGAGACCTTTTTCTATTTTAGAAAATTCATCATGCAATCGTCGCGTCTCCGAGGCAATACACTCGTTAAATTCTCTGGTAGTTGCGCCCCCTAAGCCACAATCCCTCGTAACTTACGCGTTCTTCGCGTCCACGAAATCATAAGCCTTCGAAGAGTACGCAGTGTTTGCGCTTTCGAGGCAACGATCCTTCATAAAAGGCCTCCAAGACGGTACAAGAGGCCTCCAAGACGGCCCAAGAGTGTCCAAAAGCGCACAAGATGGCTCCAAGAGCACTCCCAAGAGGGGCCCCAGGGGCCAACATCTGCGATTTTCCTCATGTGTCGGATTGATTGGCACGCTCATATCTCCAGTGGCCCCCGTTCGGAATTCCGACGCTGCTTCACGACGGCGCGGCCGGCGGCAGGGGTCGAAGCCCATACAGTTGTATGTTGTGTTGGAAAATTTGTTTGGCACTTTGGGCTCTTGACAAACTTCAAACGTCAAAGCAACGCTACGCTTTTAGCGTGCTGTGCTGCCTCTGTTGAGCGTTTTCGGGCCCGTCGCCGTGGGTCTTATGTTTTCCTAGGGTGTGTTGTGCTTTGTCAAAAAATGAGCCAGGACCGACCGTCCCGGCATGCCTATAGGCCTACCACGACATGTTCTTAGAACCCACACATGTCCTAGGAACAATAACGCTGCTCTTATAGCATAAACCCGATGTGTTAACACAAGACAGTCTCGGCCAGAAAGGTTCTGAGAACACTTCGTGCAGACGACACGAGGTTCTTAGAACGTTCCTTGGTGGGCCTATAGGATAGGCAAGCCAGGATGCTTCGCCACTGTTCCAAAAAAAGGCTGTTCCTTGTCTTCACTGCTGTCGGGCGTTGGCAGAACTGGGTTTAGTGGGACCTGGTTTAGCGATGTGTACTGGGGACGCCCCTCCGCCCCGCTTCACCAACCGGAGCTGCCGTCACCCGAAGGAACACGAGCTACGGCAGAACTAGTTTAGTGATTCTGGCCAATTCAGGGGCTCCATGGCCCTACCACTAACCGGGTCCCCTCACATGGGGTCCTGGCTATACCCGATCCTGTTCCTCCCGTCACGCAGACGACACGAGGTTCTTAGAACGTTCCTTGGTGGGCCTCTAGGGTAGACAAGCCAGGACGCTTCGCCACTGTTCCAAAAAAAGGCTGTTCCTTGTCTTCACTGCCGTCGTCGCTCCCGCTCTCCTGTCGGGCGTTGGCAGAACTGGGTTTAGTGGGACCTGGTTTAGCGATGTGTACTGGGCACGCCACTCCGCCCCGCTTCACCAAACGGAGCTGCCGTCACCCGAAAGAACACGAGCTATGGCAGACCTGGTTTAGTGATTCTGGCCAACTTGGGGGCTCCAGGGCCCTACCACTAACCGGGTCCCCTCACCTGGGGTCCTGGCTATAGTCGGCCTTGATTGGACAGGACACGCGAGAGGACACAAGCCCCTTCCGAGGGCCACATCGCCACAGGAGTGGCACCAGGGTGCCCTTGAACCAGGGTCGACCTACTTATCCAGGCCGACTGTATACCCGCTCTCCTGTTCCTCCCGCCCTCCCGTCCCTCCCGCTCCGCACGCAGAACGCCGAGCCAACACACAAACAAAAAAAATGCAACAAAACATACGCCGCAGCGCCGGTCCAAAGACACCGGCGCGGAATGGGGCCCGGCGGCCCCCCGCGACAAGGCCAGCAGCGACGACCAGAGAAGAGGACAACGACTGCAACGCAGAAATGGGGAGGACTGGGCGCGAGGAGAAGGAACCGAGGACGTGGTAGGCGGCAGCGCGAGACAGCGCAATCCACGGACCTGGAAACGCCAAGAAACGGAGCTCAAAACGCAAACACATGGATCGTTATTTGTGTTCAGCGTTGTTCAAATGAATTTTTGTCTTGGGGCCTGAAAGCGCTGAAGCAATGATTTCCAATATGTCAAGTGAATAAGGGTAACAAGTCACTCAGGGCAGATTCAAGAATAACCCAGCTCAACCCCCTCTCCCTCCTCTCCCTCTTCGTCCTCCTCTTCGCCCGCGATCCTCGATGCTCTGTCCTCGGTCCTCGATCCTCCTCCTCCTCCTCCTCCTCCTCCTCCTCCTCCTCCTCATCTGGGACTACGGTTGTCGGCTGGCAGCCGGCAGCTGGACAGGCGGCCACCTCCTCCCTCCCCCCCAATCCAATCTTAATCCCGCAATCTTAAAGCCTTGCTGTATGTCGGGCATGTCCCCCTACAGGGGGATTTTGGACGAACAAATTAAGGCAGATTCAAAAAAAGACCCCCAAATAGCCTCAAAAATGCTTCAAAAATCGTCCCCTGACTATTTTTGGACTATTTTTGGATACTCCTCCTGTAAAGGGACATGCCCGACCTAAGCCTTGCTTGACCTGACCTGGTGGCCAGGGTCGCGTCGCCAGCGTCGGTCCAGGACCGCCCCGCGCCCTGCGGCGCTGCCGCCGACCCGACCACGGTGGAAAATGTTACTGGCTCACCATCCTTTCAACATTAGGTGCCCGTGCAGAGTGTCCGCAGTGCAGCCAGCTGCCTGTGCCAAACTGTCTCTGCCAGCTGCGTGCCACGACCTGCTGACAGGCTAATTATGTGCTTCAGCAGCGGCGCAAGCCTAAATCCCTCCCTCCCTGCCTCCCTGCCCCCCCCCCACGAAGCCGCCTGCGCACCGTCTCCTCCCTCCTGCTCCTCCCCTCCCGCCCCGCCCCTGCCCCCTCCCGGCACTGCCCCGCCCCCCGCCCCACACTCCCGACCATCTAATTCTGAAGGGGCCCAGGGACCCACAACTGAAAAGACACAAATAAAAAGATTCCCCATATTTTCCTATTTTCTGGGTGTTCGTCTTCCCCTCCACTTCCCATATTTTCTTATTTTCCTGGGAGTCGACGATTCATTGTGTCTGTGTGTTTCTTTCCCTCCTGAGATTCTCCCCACCCTCCCGCCTCCGCCCGGCTGTCTGGCGATGCGGCCCCCAAGGGCCCCGTTCGGCGGAGTGGACCTTCGTGGGGCGGTGCCCTTCCCCCCCCCCGTTGCCACCCCAGCGGACCCACTGCTCTTTCGCTGGTCCATGTCAACATGATCTTCCTCCTCCTCCTCCTCCTCCTCCCCCTCCTCCTCCTCCTCCTCCTCCTCCGTCCTCCTCCTCCTCCTCCTCCTTCTTCTCCTTCTCCTTCCTCCTCCTCCGTCCTCCTTCTCGATTCTCAACCATCGATCCTCGATCCTGCAGGGGAGCGAAAAAAGCACCGATGCCGTTACTCCCCCGACCTCTCCCGGGGCGCGTTCTGACCAGGAATTCGAGGCGAATCCAGCGGTGGCGACGAGGGCCTCCCAGGAGGCCCACAACAGGAGAAAACGAGGGAAGGGCAGCGGCATGGGTAGCCATTCCTCCTCTCGACCTCCTCCCTCCTCCTCCCCCCAACCACCCTCTGAGGGGGGCCTCGGAGGCGGGGCGCGCAGCGGGGCTGGCGAGCGGTCCTCTTGTCGAAGCGCACGGGCCGCTTCGGGTGAGGCATGTGGCCTCCGCGGGCCGGCTGGCGGCGGCTTCTCTTCCCCCTCGGCGCCGCTGCCGTCCGTCCTGGCCTCCTCCTCCGCCAACTCTTCCTGGTCCGCCACATCCTCCTCCACCGCCTCGACACCCTCCTGCCCCTCCTCCTCCTCATGGTCCTCCTCCTCCTTCTCCTTCTCCTCCTCCTCGTTCTCTCCCTCCCTTCTCCATGGCCTCATGCTGTTCCCTCCTTCACCTTCCCCGCCTCCCTCCTGCACCACTTCCTTATGCTCCTCCACCGCCACCTCATCTCCTCCTCGTCCTCCATGTTCTCCACGTTCTCCTCCACCTCCAACTCCTACAGCTCCTCCACCTCCGCCTCCTGCCTCTCCAATATACCCCACCTCCTCCTTCTCCTTCCAGGGGGTTACAAAGTTCTGGCAGCACTACTGCGCCGAAGGCTTCTACACGGCGGAGCGGAGCGTCGACTACGAAACTCTCAGTACGGCTTCAGACCAGGGAGGGGCACTCAAGATGCGCTCATGCTGGTCCGGCGCATCACCGATGCAGCGTACCAAGACAAAAATGGTGGTATAATTCTTATAATGTTGGACTGGGCCAAAGCATTCGACTGGATCAAACCAGACTGCATGTGCGACGCTTTGGGTCGTTTTGGTATTCCCGCAGATATGGTGGCCATGATTAGACCAATGTATGAGGCGAGATATTTCACTATATTGGACCATACAGGCTCTTCCACTGAGAGACAACTGCGGGCGGGCATAGCACAAGGGTGCCCTTTATCATTATACTTGCTCATCATCGTACAGAGCGTGATGCTGTATGATGCTTTTGACCAACTCGATCTACAAGAAAATCCGGCATATGTCGTGACGCCCGATATCCTTTACGCCGACGATACACTTCTACTTTCGCGCCACAAGCAAAATATGGATGATATGCTCTTGGCCATTATTACAGAAGGTAAGAAATACGGCTTGGAACTGAACTGGGAAAAAACTTTACACATGCAAATATCAACACACAACGTAATATCACGACCAAACGGGGGCGCAATCAAGTCCGTCCACGAAGCTGTTTACCTAGGAGGACTGATTACCTGCGACGGGAAAGTTGCCACGGAACTGACGCGGAGACTAGGATAATGTACAAAGATGTTCAAGCAGTTGGATAAGCTCTGGAGCCACGCCTCGATTGGAAAACGGCGAAAGCACAGTATTTACACAAGTTGTGTGGTGAGCAAGCTGCTCTACTCATTGGACTCAGTTTGGCTACTGAAAGCAGACAGGGCGCGCCTTGATGCTTTCCACTGCAGGTGTCTACGACGCATTGTCGGCGTACCTCCTTCGTTCATCTCGAGAGTTAGCAACGCAGACATTCTGAAGAGAGCTGGCGCAAAAAACCTCTGTCGGATGTTCTTCTGGACAGGCAGGAGAAGGCGTACCTCAAGATTTCCAGAAGTGGGCATCCCTCCTTGGTGCGACAAGTTGTATGCGAGCCAGATGGGTCACCAAAGTGTTGGGCGCTACATCGACGACGAGGCCGGCCTCGACAGCAGTGGGCTTCTTCAGTGTGCGGTCTGAGGCAATCTCGCCTTCCTCCCTCCCCTCCCCCTTCTTAGTTTGCAGCACTCATTGTACACTTTCAGTTCATGTTTTCCGTTCGGTTGCCAACGTCGCAACCTGAGTTTGCCAACGCGTCCCACCGGATGCACGGCCGAGCGAGCGAGCGACCTCCTTCTCCTCCTCCTCCTCCCCTCTTCCACCTCCTCCTCCTCCTCCTCTTTTCTTTTTCTCTCTCTCTCTCTCTCTCGGGAGAGAGAGAGAGAGAGAGACCAGAGCAACAAAAGAGAGAGAGAGAGAGACCAGAGCAACAAAAACACATCTACTCCTTCACCCCTCTTGCCACAGCGGCCGAGAGGGGAGTGGTGTGCGCGAGAGGGCGCAAGGGAGGACAACTGTAATGCAGCTGGCGCGGCAGAACTGACAGTCGTTGCCGTTGGTGCAGTTGCCCTTCGCGAAATACAGGCACCTTCGGGCGAGGAGCAAGGAAGGCGAGATCGAGCGAGCTGTGCCCCTGGAGCGCGGGCGACTACCTGACCGGGCAGCGGCAGCGGCGCCGAAGACTGGCTGTCGGCAGTCGGCAGGAGCGCATCGACACCGCTGCCGGAAAGGTGCGCCTCTCGCTCGTCCCTCCCGCCCTATTCCTCGCTTCGCCTTCGCTGCCCCCATCACGCACCCAATCGTCCGACCCAATCGGCGAATCAGTCGCTCACTCATTCGCTCCTCTGTGGAGGGCAGAAAATCCACCCCGATAATCCGACACGCGAGGCAGTTGAGTAAACGCACCCAAAGGAGGAATCGAACAGGGCAGGGCTGTTTAGTAAACGCCGGCCGTTTAAGAACGCCAATTGTCGGGTACAGGTGGTTTTTCCTCCCTTGACTCTGCTCGATTGCTGCTCGCTCAGTCCTTCACTCGCTCCGGCAACTGCCGCCGCACAACCCGTTCAAACGCTGAGCCATCACTCGATGGCTCCCTCATCGCTCACTCGCCCACCCAACTTTCTGCCCATCCACCCGCTCGCAGGCTACCCGCTCACTCGCAAATCACTCTCTGACTATAGAGCCCAGTGGTAGGGGAGAAAGAGAGAAAGAGAGAGAGAGAGATAGAGAGAGAGAGAGAGAAAACAACAAAAAAAGAAAGAGCGAGAAAAAGGGAGAGAGGGAGGGAGAGAGATAGAGACAGAGAGAGAGAGACCGACATGGACACACACATACACACATGAAGAGAGAGAGAGAGAGAGAAACAGATAACAACAGAGGGAGGGCCACATATGAATCGAGAGAGATTGAACAGAGATAGGAGGGATGGGGGAGGGGGGAGAGAGAGAGAGAGAGAGAGAGAGAGATAGAGAGAGAGAGAGAGCGAGAGAGCAAACAACAAACATAACAAGGGAGAGTGAGGCAGGGGGTATCTATGTATCTATAGGTGTACATATCTCTCTCCCACCTCTCTCGCTCTCTCTCTCTCTCTCTCTCTCTCTTTCTCTCTCTTCATACATACATACATACGTGTGTATAGATATATGTATCCCGATCTAGACATATACACATATTCATACATTCATATATGTGTATATACATATAGAGGGAGGCTATGCGGCCCACGTTGGACTTCGTCTATGCTTTATGACCTCACGCTTTCCCTCTCTCCCTTTCACTCCCTTCGTCGCTACCTCCTCTTATCCCCCCTCCTCCTCCTGCTCGTGCTCGTCCTCCATCTCATGCCCCTCCTTCTCTCCTCGTCCTCTTCCTCCTCATCCTCATGACTGCGATGTATTGATGATTACCCCCGCTTCCCAACCAACCAGTGGCCACCGACCACAAAAACATGCTCCCACCACGATCCCGGCCAAAAGCTCATGTACACCCATCGTGGGCGCACACGACGTACACCCTGCTGCCCACGCAAGTTAGCCGTCGCTTTGCGCGCGTTCTGGCAGGCATCGTGGGGGGGCCGGCATCTTGCCCGACGCGTGCTGTGACGCGCACCGTGGCTCGCTACGGGGGCGACGACGGGGGCGAATAGCCCAGGGGAGAACAGTTCACGCCCAGGGGCGCCGATGGTCCATGCCTTCGGCGAGGCTCGCAGGCGAATGCGTGTAGTGCCCGCCCCTGGGCTACTATTCGCCCCTGTCGTCACCTCCGATCGCTCGGCGCGCCGGAACCACACTGCGCACCCGGCGCCGCTCGGCGCACGTGGCGCGCATCTGGCTCCCGAGGCGCGCCCCGCGTGCTCGCGCACCTCGCCAGTGGCGCCGGGGCCTCCGCGGCGCAACCCCCCGCGCGGGCGCGGCGCACGGGGCGTGTACACAGGCCCCCCGGCGGCTGTCGATCAGGCGGCAGGCACCGGGAGCTCCTCATTCGGGGGCGCGTAGACATGGGATCAGCGATCCATGGATTTGGCGCGCGGTCGCCAAATCCATGGGTCGGGGCAGGTGCCCTCCCAAAAACTGCGGCCGGTGCCGCCCTGTGCGGCGGCGGACATCCGCGATCTCCCATGGAAGCGGGACCCGTCGCTAATCCACGCCCCCTTGATCCATGTTTGCGATCGCCTGACTCATGTAAGGAAGGGGCGGGGGGGAATGGCCTGGTGGGCCTGCGGCGTGCCCGTTGGGAAATCGACTCTTCCCTATTTCCCTCTCCGAGTCGGACCTGGGACCAAAGAGCACCCCTCAAGAGCACGAGACCCTCCGCTGGCCGAAACACCCCAAACCAGAAGATCCCTCGAGGGTACCCTCCCCCAGGATGCACAAAAACGTCCAAACAAGCGTGAAGAACATTGGGGTCATTACCCTATTCGAAGTGATTCTCGATCTTATACCCATGTCCGACCGTGCCCCCCCCCCCCCCCCGCGTCCTCCTTCGATGATAGGCAACCTTGCTTTGTCAACCTCTGCTGACTGCTCAGTGTCGCCGGGTTTGGCAGGCCCCGCTGGAGCTACGAGCGAGCCCTCGAGACGACGGGGCCGGATGCCCTGCCAAGCGCCACCTGAACCTTAAGTCCCTCCCGCCGCCCCTCTCCTCGTCCCCCCTCCCCCCCCCCTTCTCCCTGCTCCCCCCATCCTCGTTCCTCGACTCTCCTCCCTCCTCCAGCTCCTCCGTTCCTCCCTGCTCCCTCTTTCCTCTTCCCTCCTGCCTGCGTGCTCTCCACCTCCTCCTCCTCCTCCTCCTCCTCCTCCTCCGCCCCCCCGCCTCCTCCTCCTCCTGCTCCTCAGTCCCTCCAACCTCCCGCGCCTCCCTCCCTGTCCCTCCTCCTCCGCCGCCTCATCCTCCTCCTCCGCGGCCTCATCCTCTTCCTCCTCCTCCTCCTCCTCCTCCGCCTCCTCCTCCTCCTCCTCCTCCTCCTCCTCCAATTCCTGGGCATCGGCGCAGACGCTGCTGGAGTGGATTCACAGTGACTCGCCCTATCGTCTGCCTCATGTTCTCTGTCTGCAGGAACGTCGGATTAAGTCTTGCGACAAGCTTCGAGCGGCTCGCAAGTGGTCACAAAGAGTTGGGTTCCATCATCACTTCGTGCCAGCTGCGTCCACCGGAGAGACGGGCAATGAGAGCAGTGGCAGGTGCGCAGTCCTATCGAGGATAACAGCAACCCCCACCCCATGCTCGATGGATGCGATACCACCTCATAGACTCGGTGATGTGCCTCAGCATTGGTTGTGCCCTTCCCTTTATACCTCACCACGAGCATTGGCTTCAATGGCGAGAACCTCGAACACCTCGAGGGCATCATGGCGTTCGTAGGCGGCCTCCAGGGGCCCTGGCTGCTGCTAGGCGACTGGAACAAGCCACCGACGGACCTTGAGGCCTGGGCCAAGCATGCCAAGGGCCGATTGCTTTCGGCTCAGGGGCCGACTTGTGCTGGCAGGGAGATTGACTTTGGCATTGTGTCGAACGCTCTGGCTCCCTTCGTCTCCAAGGTTGGGGCGGTAATGGGCAGCACCGCCAAGACACACGTGCCGCTAGCCATCACATTCGAGGGGCTTCATCGGGGAGCCGCTGTCTCGCGCGCGGTCTACCTCAAGAAGTTCCCGATCGAAAAACCCTTGCCTGTCAGGCCAGCCCCGGTGGAGGCGCATCTTGATGAATGGGCTTGGCAGGTTGGCCAGCAGCTACCTGATAATCTGGGCGCGGCGTGCCAGTGCTGGTTGGACCACGTGGAGACCGACCTGATGGATCTTCACGACATCCAGCCTTGGTGTCAACACAATTGGAGTGGTCGCAGCTCTGGCCTTCGTGTTGTCAATGTTCCCTTCGAGACGGTTTGGAAGCAAGACGTCAGGGAAGGCTCGTCGCTGGGACACAGGCAGTGGTCCTCCTACCTCTCGGCCTTCATGCGCCTGCACGCGATCGGCTTCAGCATGAAGGAGAAGGGCATCAGTAGTTTGGCCGCCTGAAGGCGGCAAGCTCTAACGTACCAGCGCATTGTTGTTGAACGGCCTGCAGAAGGCCCGCTTCTTGCATGGGCTGGGGCATCCTCTGCCTCACTTATCTCTCTTGTTAAGAGGGTGGGCGGGAGGCTTTGGAGTTCTTGGAGGGGGTGAGAGATCATGCCAACTTGCTCCAGGCCAGCGGTCGCGCGGCCAGGAGCGCGAAGTGGAAAGCCTGGGCCGAGACAGCTGCTTCTGAACAAGGGGGCCGTGCGGCGTATCGACATGTCCGAGAGCCAGCCCCTTGCACGCAGATCCTCACTCCAGGAGACAAAGGCACGCCTCAGATGCCAGCTGTAGGGCGGGCAGCAGTCGGTCGATTTGTTGCTTGAGCAACGGGAGCCGCTGTGGAGCAATCCGCGGCGCGATGGCGAAGCGCACCCCCCGAGAGACTGGGGCCCCGAGTTGGCCCAGACCGTTTCGGCGAGCCTGGAGCCCGACCGTGGCCTCGAGGGGCTTGGGTTTCTGGGGGGGGGACCCCTTGGGAGCCGCTGCCTGCCATCACCATTGAGTCTCTCGATAGAGTCCTGCAGTCCTACCCAGCTGGTGCCGGATTAGGGTGGCTCCTCTGGCTGCCGTTCTCATACAGGTCAGCGCTCGCAGACGTCCTCTCGAAAGGGGAGTCCGATCCTGAGGCTCTGGACCTCTGGGCGCTTCTGATTCGTCCTCGGGAAACCTGCTCCCGTGGGAGGTGTTAGGCCCGTCGTGCTGGCGTCGATTTGGGGTAGAGTTTGGTCGAGGCTTCGGCAGCCCGTTGCCAGACGTTGGGAGCTCTCCCTTGATGATTCGGCTTTTTGGGGTTCCACGGGGTTCACCTGCGATCGCGCGGGTCACGTGCACAATATCATCCAGAGATTTGCTCGTTTCAAAGGTTTTTCGGCTGTCAGCGGAATGTTGGAAGTGTCAGAGTATTACGAACATATCTCGCACGACGCCCTCTTTCAGGAGGCGCTCCTCACGGGGTTCCCAGTGGCGCTGCTTAGATGTGTGTGTGTGTGTGTGTGTGTTCTAGTTATCGCCTGCCGCGGAGAGCGGTCTGGGAGGCGATTATTTATGAAACAATGGTAGCAAACGGCACCGTTGCAGCAGGCTGCAGCAACGCCCTCGCATTGGCCAAATTATTGGTCCACACCTTGATTAAGAAGCTACAGTATCGCTATCCACAGGTTAGATTTCAGAATCTAGTCGATGACTTCCTGTTGCAGATGATCGGTGGACGGTCTCAGGTGCTAGAACAGTGCCCTTCGGCTATGATGGAGCTCGTGGCCGGCCTAGAAAGCAAGCTTCTCAAAGTCAAGTGGGATACGACAGGTTATATGACCAGCACGCCTAACCTCGATACCGAGCTAGGCGGCCGCTGGGATCTGTGTGCCGACCACAAAATGTCTGCAGGTAGGTGTCTAGGCACGGACGCGAACAGCGGGGCCTCTCGTTCTGTCTCGGAGCAGGACAAGCGCTTGGCGAAAGCGAAGAAGGTCTCGCATCGTGTCGCGCAGTTGCGTGGGGCAGGTGCCAATGTCAGCACGATCATGCGGGGGTCTCCTACGGCGACGGCGGTCTGGGGGTCAGCTGTAACTCGCATCTCGGAGCACAAGCTCCACTCGCTCCGTGTTGCATCCCTCCGTGCCGAGGGTAGGGCCCCTCCAGGGACGTCGGTGGCTCTGCGTCTCAGAGCCACGCCAAGGGGTGGCCACAATGACCCATGGGTGGTCCATGCTGTAGAGGTGGCCAAGCACTGGGCGCTCTCGGTGATTTCCGCGCTGCCCGGGTTGGGGCCTTTGGAGGCCTGTCTGCGTTCGACCCAGGGATCCTCCTTCGTTCCCGGCCCTGGTCTCAGGTCGTGGGCCCCGCCTAAGCGGCGCTGCTTTCTCTGGCCAGGATCGGGGCCACGCTGCCCAGTGCTTCGGTCTATCGGGACCCGTTTCATGGTGAGTTTGATCTCCACCGCTTCTCCCCTGCTTTCGTCATGAATCTTGCTCGGGAGCCGGCCCTGGCGGCTTCTGGTGTGGCGGCCCTTCGCCGGATGGGGGGCGCTTGGAGTTCGCCTCTCCACTGGGCGCCCGTCTCGGCCGTGCTTGCCAGGGAGCACACAGAAGGGTGGACGGCTCAGATGTGCGCCGCTATCAGGTCGCTCGTCGGTGGCAGCCACTGGCCTCAAGCTCGATTGCACTCTCATGGGAAGGCTCTGCACGATCAGTGCGCTCACTGTGGTGCTCGAGGCACACACTTCCATCGGTTTTACGATTGTCCCAGGCTGCTCCTGGTCAAACGGGAGCTGTGCCCGCCACATGTTGAGCAGGCCGCAGATGTTGTCAAAGGGCTCAGCGAATATTACGGCGAAATGTTTTCCCGCTGCCTGTGGCCCTCGCCGAGTCGCGCCTTCCGCCGCCACGACGAAGCTCCCGAAGAAAATTGGTTGCGTTTCGTCAGGGCGGATCCTGGGTGGAGGTTCTCGGGTAAAATCTTCGTGGACGGATCCGCTTTCAACACAGCCCATGAAGGGCTCAGCCAAGCGGGGTGGGCTGTTGTGGCCATAGACCCCGCAGGCCAGCTTGTTGCAGCAATGTATGGTGTAGTTCCTTGATGGTTTGCCCCGGCCCAAGTTGCGAGGGACGGGGAGGACTACGCCTTCTGCATGCTTAGCCGTTTTTCTGAATGGAATGCCAAAGACCCCCTTGAGGTCTTCTGTGACTGCTCAGGCACTGTTGAGTGTGCGCAAAAAGCTGGCACAACTTTGTCTGATGATAACCCTCGGCGCCACAACTGGACTGAATGGTGGGCCGGCATAGGTCGGCGAGCGTCAGTTTGTAAAGTAAAGGCCCAACAGTCCGAGGCTAATGCGATAACTGATCATGATACCTGGCCAATTCGAGGCAACAGGATGGCATATAAGTGTGCCAAGCAGGGGGTTAAGCTCTGGGCGATTCCTGAGCGCTGGTCCTTGTGTGCTTCAGGCTGTAAGCGAATCGTCAGGGATGGCATTGCCGGCACAGCGGATATGGAATTCGAGGATGCTTTTCCGCAGGCGCTCCAAGAGGCTTGCCGGGAGACGGGGGTGAGGCCTTTCGAGCGGGGGTCCCAGGGCCATGGGTGCTATGGGCTCTGCACCTCCCCCACCGCCTCCGCCTCATCCAGGATGAGGGACTTCCTCGTCCAGGATTCCTGCCCCCAGGGACTTCCTCCAGGTTTCTGGGGTTCCCTGGGCGCTTAGGGACCATTCCATCGTCCAGGCCACGGTCCAGGCATATGACGGTGCAGCTCTTGATGACATAATTGTTTGTAAATGCTGTGGGGCTTCGGCGCCTCAGAGTGCGCGGGGAGGCCTTCAATTTAATTGCAAAGGGTCCTCCCATTCGGGGTACAAGACCCAGAGGTCCTGTTTAAGGCGTGGCTTGTTCCCAGGACATAACCTGGGTAAGGCCATTGCGGGTACTCCGTTTGGCCCGACAGATGAAACGAAGGCTGTTTGGGGTCCTTTGCTTGGCTGTGTGCCTGTTGTGGGTGGTGCTGGTGGGGATGTGGGTCCTAACAGCGATGCTATAGAGGCTCCTGCTGCGACCGAGGGGGATCCTCTCCCGACCTCAGCGATCGCTCAGCTTCCCGCCTTATCACCCCAACTGATTGCGAACTTGCACGGTTTCGCTACCACCGAGGCGCTTGTTGCTTGGGAGAGTGACCGGCGCCGTCGGGATGACGATTCGGCTGATTGGGACGAGGAGGATAGCATAGGCTAACCTCCTGCGTTCGGCCTGTGTGCCAGGGGGGGTCGACCCACCCCGGATCATCAGTACCCTCAGTACCCTGCTCCTCCTCCTCCTCCTCCTCCTTCTCCTCCCTGCCTCCCTCCGTCCCTCACTCCCTCCCTACCGTTCCCCTCCCTCCCTTCCTTCTTCCCTCACTCCCTCCGCTCCTCCCTCCCTTCCTCTCCTCCTTCGAGCGCCCGCGGGACGGAGAAGAGGCGAAGCGCGGGACGGCACTGCCGAGGGCAGAGGTCCGGGTGGCCGATGCTGCCCGGGTTGGTCGGCACATCAGGCGCCGGCTGGGGGGGGGGCGGCCGGGCCACCGAGCCTCCTCCTCTTCCTTCTTCTCCTCCAGCCCGTATCCTTATGAGCAAATCCTGCCTGTCGCAACCCCAGACGTGTCGGTATGTTGGGCCCGGCGTTTCGCCTGAGACTTCCTCAGCACCTATGGACATGAATCTTCACATGTGCTACAGTTTCAAAGACTAGAGGACCCGTTTTCATACTGTGGCTCTCGCCTTAGCGTCGCGCACCTGCGTTCGAAACGTATGCAACAGCTTCAAGGATGGAGGGGGAGGCGTTTTCAAAATGTGCCTCTCCTGAGGGCCGCGCACATTTGTCTTAACATGTTGCAGCAACTTCATGGGTGGAAGTCGGCTTCTTTTCAAAAGGTGGCTCTCGCCTCACAGCCACGCACATGCGTCTAAAATATGCAACTAATGCAGGGGCAAAAGGTATGTCTGTGTGTTTTTCAAATTGAATATTCCGGGTTAGCGCCGCGCACATTCGTTTAACATGTTGTAAACGTACCGTCTCAGGGATGATAGGGGGTATGTTTGAACATGAGTATCTCAATACCTGTGCGACCACACTTCGGGAGATAAGGAGGTTTGGGGGGAAGGAGCCAGTATCTCACTCACTTGATCTCGCTATCTATTGTACTGTCGATATCACTATCGATCTCTCTCGATCGATCTCACTCTTGGTCTTACAATCGGTTTCAGGATCCCTCTCACAATCGATCTCCAAATCCCTCTCACTCTCGATCCCACAACCGATCTATCTCGCAACGGATCGCACCATCGATCTCGCAATCGATCTCACTATCGATCTCACTTTCGATTTCACCATCGATCTCACGATCGACCTCACGGGATACCACGGGATTCCACAGGACACCGCGCCACGGGACACCACGGGCCACTGTGGGCCACCACGGGACACCATCGGGACACCACGGCGGGACACCCCTGGCACCCGCCCGCCAACCAGGGGGGCGGACTTCTGCCCGGGCGGCGCCCTAGCCAGAGGAGGGTTGCTTCCTCTCGCCCGCCCACGCAGCTTCGCCTCCCCGCACGCACGACACGAACACGAAACCGACACAAATTTCCTGGCGGGGGGCTGTCCGTGTCACTGCGATCTCACCCCCTCGCCTCCGTTCCCGCAGTAGCGCCGCGCATGCTCGTTTAACATGTCGTAGAAGTTACAGAAAGTGGAGACTTGCTCCTTTGCAGAATTGGGCTCTCGCCCTGGCGCCGCGCATATTCGTCCCAACAAGCTTGCAGCAGGTGCAGACATTGAGCTCGGGCCGCTTTCAACATGTGGCTCTCGTCTCAACGCCGCGCACACTCGTGCTCAACATTCACAACGTTTCGAAGGATACGGGGGCAATATTTTCCCGAGACGGGTTCATCGCTTGAGACTTCCTCGAATATCCGACACCCGCTTGCCTGGGTGAAACGGCTTGTGAGATATTTGGCTGCCGCCCCAGGGCACGGATGCGTCGGCGAGGACGAGGACGCCGACGCATGCGACGATATTACGGAAGTGTGCAGGATGATGGACGAGGAGGAGATGGATGAGAAGGATGACGGGACGTGGGCGACGATAAGGAGGAGGAGGAGGAGAAGGAGGAGGAGGAGGACGAGGACGAGGACGAGGACGAGGAGGAGGAGGAGGAGGAGGAAGGCGACGACGACCAGGACAAGGACGAGGAGAACGATGACGACCAGGACGAAGGGGAGGCGGAGGATGGAGAGGACGGAGGAGGAAGAAGAGGGAGAAGAGGAATATATGGACGACAGCGATGCCAACCCTCGGGGTCTCCTGAGGCCCCTTGATGGTCGAAGAGGGGCCACGAGCGTCCAACAGCCTGGATCCTCGGCCCTCGAGCTGCGATCCTCGAAGGAAGCCGACGACAGCGTTGGCACCGCCGCTCTGGGAGCTGTGCCCGACTCGTAACCTTCCCGCCCTCTGAAACGCCGCGGCTGGCCTTGGCCGGCCCAGGCTCGCTGGAGAGGCCAGGACCTGCTCCGCATGCCCTTCGAAGGGATTCCAGGGGAGGAGCACCCTGATACTCGGCGCGACGAAAAGCTGCAGCACTGTGAAGAACTATACGACTGGCAGCGACCAGAGCCCTCCCAGGGACACGACGACGGCGGCGGGCGCCCTGGGCCTCCGGGCGCGACGGCGGCGACGGCGGCGGCGGCGGCGCCCCTGGTCTCGGGACACGCCGGCGGCGGCGGCGCCCCGGGTCTCAGGACGCGGCGGCCACGATGGCGGCGGCGCCCGGACCTCAGGACACGGCGGCGCGGCGGCGGCGGCGGCCCCGTGGTCTCGAGGGGCACGGCGGCACGGCGGCGGCGGCGGCGGGCCTGGGCCACGGGCGGCGCGCTCGCGCCGGCCGACGGGTTCGAGACGCGGTTGTCTCTCGCCTCGGGGGTGGGGCGGCGCGCGCCTCCCTCCCCGCTCCGGCTCCCGCTCGTGTCGAGGAGGGCGAGAAGGTCTGGCTCAAGAAGGGTGAGTTCGACGGCTGCTGGGGCGCCTCAGGTCGTGCGGGAGCGCCCGAGGTCGGGCTGGGGGGGGCCTCGAGCCCAGCGGAGCCAACCTGGTCCAACGATCCCTTCTGGCGGCCTCTGCTCTTGCTCCTGCTCCCGCTCCTTGCTCTCGCTGGTGCTCTTGCTCTCGGCTCCTGCTGCTGCTGGATTGATGGGCCCATCTTCCACCACCACCACCACCACCACTACCACCGCCACCACCACCACCACCACCACCACCACCACCACCACCACCACCACCACCACCACCACCACCACCACCACCATAGGTAGGAGAGGGAGGAGGAGGAGGAGGAGGAGGAGGAGGAGGAAGAAGAGGAGGAGGAGGAGGACCTCCTCATCCTCCCTTCTCCCCCGTCCTACATATGGTAGTGGTGGTGGAAAACCTGCCCATCATGGGTGGGGAGGCACGCCCACGCGCGCGCTCCCGTGCGCGCGAGCCGCCCCCGGATGCCAGCGGCGCAACCGCGCCCCGGCGGCTCCGGCGCAACAGCGCCCTGGATGCCACTGCACCGCTTGCGATCTCCGCCGCCGCCCGCCCTCCTCGCACGCTGATCCCGCCTCCTCCTCCTCCTCCTCCTCCTCCTCCTCCTCCTCCTCCTCCTCCTCCTCCTCCTCCTCCCCCTCCCCCTGCCTCTTTCTCCTCCTCCTCCTGCCTGCCTGCTGCTGCTGCTGCTCCTGCTCACCACTGCCCTCGCTGCTGCTGCTGAATGTCCTCCTCCTGCTTCCTCCTCCTCCTTCTCCTCCTCCTGGTGTTCTTCCTCTCCGCCCGCCCGGCAGTGCCATAACCAAGACCAGATCGGCCTTACCATGTTCAAACCGACCCTGAGTCACACTCGACTCGACCCGTGAACTCACATCCGACGCATCTCGGCAACGTCCCGCATCCATCATCCACGCAGACGCATGGGCGTCCGTATTCAGCAGGCCAATTGGGACAACGACGGATCTCCCACCCGTCCGACATGCGCTCAAAATCTGTCCCTTGGCTTACGTTGCTCCCTATCGTACGTACGATCCGCATTGTCGAGCATCCAGAAAGGTATCTAAGCAGTGTCGACTGACTATCGCCTCCCAGGGCCCGACACGTGAAAACCCTTGGTGGTTGATTTTTTTCTAGTGGTCAAGGCTAATTTATTTTGGGGCATCATAACCCCTGACCCCCGCAGAGGTCAGACCTGATTGGTTTTGTTCGAGGCGGATCCAGCGTTAGGTTGGGCATGTCCTCCTGCAGGCGGAGTTTGGACGACACATAAAAATAGTTAAACAATGCTAGAAAATACTCGGAAGTGGTGGAAAAAGCGTCTCCAGACTAATGTTTTACTATTTTTGAATATTCCTCCTGGAGAGGGACATGCCCGACTCAAATCCAGCCGTGGCGTCGAGGAGCCGCCAGGGGTCCCCAGACGAACGAGCATCGACGGGGAAGGCACCGGCCGTCTCGGATGCCCCCCCCTCTCTGACGCGCGGGCTTCCGCACGCACGCGGGCAACCATGCTTACCCGTAGACTCGGGCATGTCCTCCTACAGGCGGATTCTGAACGAATCTAAAACATAGTCTAAACATATTAAAGCATAGTCAAACGACAGGCACGACTTAAGTTTACCCTTAGGTCGGGCGTCCTCCTACAGGCAGATTTTGGAAGACAAGTACAGCAATAGTCAATACGTGCTCAAACAGAGTCAAACATGGTCGAAAAATCGTCCCCGACGATCTGTCTGTACACTTGCAAATATTCCTCCCGTGGAGGGACATGCCCGACTGAAACTTGCCCCCGAGCGTCAGCACCACCCCTGCATCCACAACCAGCTGGGTTACCCTAGCCGGCGTCGGCGTTCTCGATATTCTTTCTCGCCAGCCCAGCTCCCACTCTCATCTCTGCGCTGCGTTTTTGTGGAGGCGCGCCTTCGCTCTCAGCAGCTCGTCGGCGACGACCTGGTTCGTGAAGCTGGATGGCCTGACTCGGCCGCGGCTGCAGAAGCCCCGGGCCCTGCCCCAGCAAGGGGCCCGCGAGCCAGTGCCGCAGCCTCCGGCAAGCAGGCTGTCGTGCCCCTCGGCCGTGTCTGAGATTGGAGGCCCAGTCTCCTCCCCCCCCACACTCCTCCTCCTCCTCTTCCTCCTCCTCCCCCTCCCCCTCCGCCTCCTCCTCTTCCTCCTCCTCCTCCTCCGCCTCCTCCTCCTACTCCTCCTACTCCTCCTCCTGCACCTCCCTCTCCTCCTCCTCCTCCTCCTCCTCCTCCTCCTCCTCCTCCTCCTCCTCGATCGGCGTCGCCCCTTCCACCTCCTCACCGCCCCTTCCTCGCCCACCCCCTCCACCTCGCTGCCCACCCCTTCCCCTCGCCCAGCCGTCGGAAGCGGGGCTTCGCGCGCGAGCCCCTCCCGCACGCGCGCTGGTCGCAACATCGAGCTGCGCCAGCACGTATGCTGTGGGGAGGGGAAGATGGGGATGGGCGGGGCGCGAGGGCTCGTCCGACCTGGCCAAATTGACCGCCCCTTCCCCACAGAGAGGTTGGAACATGCAGTCGGAAGTTCAACGGAAGTGGAAGTGGCCGGCGCTGGAAACAGAGGCAGCAGCTGAAAAGAGCCCTTGACCAGGGACCGACCGTCCCGACATTCCTATAGGCCTACCACGACATGTTCTTAGAACCCAAAAATGTTCTATTACCACATTTAACACCTGAGAAAACCCCAATCAGTGGATAATTTGAAAATTAGTCATATGGATCTTGAGATCGATTGTGATATCGATAATGAGATCGATCGTGGAATCGATAGAGGACGATTGTAAGGTCGATCGTGAGACCGAGAGTGAAATCGATTCAATGAGATCGATAGGGAGGTCGATCACGAGATCGCTCGTGCGATCTCTAGTGAGATCGCTTGCGAGATCGACTGTGAGATCGATTGTGAGATCGATGGTGAGATCGATGGTGAGATGGATAGAGGTGGGAAATGAGATCGATGCTGAGACCGATCGATGAGAAGATCGACCAGAAACCCGGGAACCTGGGAACCTCGCCGCCCATCGAAATCGGCCCCGGAAACCGGGAACCCGGGAACCGGGAACCAGGAACCCGGGAACCCAGCGTGCGACCAAAATCGGCGGGGCACTTTCGCCAAACCCTTCAACATCCGCTAGGACCCCTTCAGTGCAAGCACTGATTGGGCAACCATGTTCTTAGAACATAAACCCGATGTGTGAAAACAGGACAGCCCCAGCCAAACATGTTCTAAGAACCTGTTCGTGGACATCACAAAAGGTTATCAGAACATTATTTGGCAGGCCTGTAGGCGAGCCAGGACGCTTTGCCACTGCTTGAAGCCCGGAACATCTGGGATGAGGTCGCCAGGGCTGGACAAACACGTGGGGGAACCGGCTGGGGCCGGAGAAGGGGTGGGGACGCGCCGGCCCCAGACGCTTTTCAGAACTTCCCTCCACCAAACCCTTTCCCACCCCTCCCTCGGGAAAGCCCTCCTCCTCTCCTCCTTCCACCAATCCTTCCTCCCCCTTCTCCTCCTCCTCCTCCTCCTCCTCCTCCTCCTCCACTCCTGTTCCTGATAAAGAACTTCTCCCGATCGCACCCCGAGGCCAGTTTTTAGGGCGGGCCGGGCGTTTCGCCTGAGACGTCCTCACCATCTATGACCCTGAAGCTTAAACATTGGCAACAGTTTCACGAATGGAGGCGGGTCGTTTTCTAAATGCGGCTCTCGCCTCAGCGCCGCGCACACTCATTGTAACAATTTGCAGAGAATTTCGCAGATTGAGGGCGGGCTCATTTTCAAAATGTGGCTCTCGGCGTAGCGCCGCGCACATTCGTCTCAAAAGATTGCAGGAATTGCACGAATTGAGGGCGGGTGGTTTTCAAAATGAGGCTCTCTCGCCTTGGAGTCTCGCACATTCGTTTTGACATTTACAACAGTTTTACGGATTTAGGGAAGGTGGTTTTCAAAAAGTGGCTCTCGCCTTAGCGCCGCGCACATTCGTTTTAAAATCTGCGAGAGCTTCACGGATTGAGGGCGGATTGGCTTTCAGACTATAGCTCACACAACTTGCAAGAGTTTCACGGATTGAGGACGGGATGTGGCTCTCGCGTTAGCGCCGCGCACATTCGTGTTCAAACTTCTTGAATGCGGCTCCCGCCTTACACCGCGCACATTCGATTCAAACATTTGCAAGAGTTTCACGGGTTCCCAAGATCAGCGTACCAGAAATGGTGTTTTGGGAAAATTATGGGTTATGGAGGTGCAACAATTACGTTGGTTCTCGGTATTGAAGTCCTAGGAATGGCGTTCCGACGCGATTCAAGACGGTCAAGAAGCAACAGTCAGGTTGATCCGTGACGTTGGAATCCCAAGAACAATGTTTCGGCATGCTTCAGGGTCTTCAAACGGTTGTCTTCCAACGGAACAGTTCCCTCAGTGGAAATGAACCGGTGTAGGCGCCAATGGAGATGGAGCTTGGAGGGAGGGTTTATTCCAACATCGTTGATGACTCTTGGGTATACACTGGTCCTCTTCCTCCTCCTCCTCCTCCTCCTCCTCCCGCTCCTCCTCCTCCTCCTCCTTTCTCCTCCTCCTTTTCACCTTCTTCTTCTTCCTCCTCCTCCTCCTCCTCCCTCGGGAAAGCCCCCCTCCTTCCACCAATCCCTTCCCCACACGTTTGCCACAGTTCCCCCCCCCCCGGGGAAAACCCCGAAAGAGGGCGCGTCGGGTTGGGGCGCGCCCCGCTCCCCTCAGGGCGGCCCATGGGGACCTGCCCGAGGGGCAAATTTCCCCGGGACGGACCTAGCACGTCGGGCGCGCCCCGGCGGGAAGCGGGGGGAGGAGGCAAGAGGAGGAGGAGGAGGAGAAGGAGGAGGAGGAGGAGGAGGAGGAGGATGAGGAGGGAGAGGGGGAGGAGGAGGAGGAGGAAAAGGAGGAAGATATCAGCGTAAACCCAAGACGTGTGAACCGTCCCTCCGAACTCCCTCTTCACAAATTCCTACAAACATATACGTCGATACCGTGCGGGAATTTCCGAGTTGGAAGACAACCGTGTGATAATCCCTCATCGTGCCAAAACACGATTTGGGGGGATTTCAACGCCGCGAACCAACTGTACTGTTGCGTCCTGACGACCCTGGATCGCGCAAGAACACCATCCCTGGGATTTCAACACTGCGATTCAACGTGACTGTTACGCCCTGAGACAATCCTAAATCGTGCTGGGACGCAGTCCTCGGAACGTCAACGACAAGACTTTTTGGAACGGCTATAAGCTTTCAGAACAAATTTGCGCGGCGCCACGGCATTAAACACCTTCTGAAAATTCACTGCTCTCCATCCGTCAAGCTCTTGCAGACTTTCAGGATCAATGTGCTTGTGGATGCCATGGCAACGGACACCCCAACAGTCCGATCATTGAGTTTTGAAACATGCTTAACATGTATGAAGCATGTTCTAAACATGCTTTAACCCCTATTTTTGCAGACTTGAGACACTTGTGAACACATTGCCTGGCATCTGGAAACTATTTGGCACGACGCTCCCTCTCCACCGGTCGTCCTCCACGGCAGCGTGCGCGGCGCCGGAGCGAGCACGGCACGCCGAGAGCCGCCCGCCCTCCGCCCGTAAAGCTCCTGCTGCACGCTCCTGCGCCGCACGTGCGCGGCGCCGCGGCGAGAGCAGCACTCCGAAGGCCACGTCGTGCGAACTGTCGTGCACGTCGTGCGAGCTGTCACACAGGAAGGGGGGCCCGACCACGAGAAGCCTTCTACAGGAAGCCCAGCCCCGAGACCCCAGGGCGCCCCTCGACCTTCGATCTGGGAACGTCGCGCCGTCCATCGCAGAACCCTCGAGACCCCCGCAACCCCGGGCACCCTGGAGGCAAGCAGGTTGTTTCTGGGCACGGACCTCCACTGTACCATGAATGTGAGTGGCGTTAAGGCGAGAAATAACCATTCCGGCGTGGAAGAACGCGACGCATCATTGTCTAGGTTGCGTCTCCGCTCATGTAGCCTCATCTTGCCCATGTTCCATCCTCTCGCTGCTTCTGCCGAGGTGATTGTTCTTGCACCCCGATGTTTTCGTTTTGCTTCCCCTTCCCAATACACTGCCTCCTGGCTTTTTGTACCTCTGTTCTGCGAGTTGGCCACGTGCACTTCGCACGATTTAGATATCCGCCGTGCACCGTATCTTGCGATGTTGCTGTCGCACGATTGTTGGCACGCCTTACCTTATCCCTTGGTGCCGATGGGTTGGGTACGTCGCAGGGTATGTTCCATTTACAACAGTTTCATTGCATGCTGCCAAAAGGGCCTGTCGCGCGCATGCCAAACTCATTCCAACGCCCTTGCGCGCGCGCTGGGGGAGGGGGGAGGCACGATCCTTGTCAAATCCGCCGACCCGGTTGGCGTGTGCGAAGGGTTTGTCTGTTCGAGTCGTCGTCTCCGTCAGTCGTCGTCCCCTTTCCCTGCGCAACGTCGTCATGTCGCAGTCGAAGTGTCGTATTCCGAAAGACTACCTTCACAGTGTCGCAACCGAATGGAAGGGAAGCCCCTTCCCTTTGATCCCTCCCCCGTCGTGGGGGGCGAGGTTTCGGGGGGGAGGGGGTCAGCTACGCATACCCCATGGGGGGCCCTAGGGCTGCGAAAAACACCAAAACAAGAGCCACGAGGGCCCCAAGAGGCCCCCGAGACAGTCAAAGAGGGCCCCCACTCGCCTAACGATTGGTCCACAACGCCTTCACGCTCCCAGACTGCCCAGGATACCTCCAAGGCGCCCCAAAAGGCCTCCCAAAGCACTCCCGAGAGGGGGCCAAAAGGCACACCTCCGTGATTTTCTTTCGGGTTTTGACAAGTTTGGGCGTGCTCGCCGTTTCTGCTTCCAGCTGCTCCAAAACGGCTGGCGAGGCCATCAAGATCGCCCCAAGACGGCCCAAGAGGCTTCCAAGAGCGCTCCGAATCATCCCAAGAAAACCCCAAGACAGCCCAAAACGCCTCCAAGACCAAGAAGCCCCAAAGACGGCTCCAAGAGCGTGCCTTGATAGGGGAAACCGAACGGACATTTCGAGCCTTCGGCCCCCAGAAGCTCCCAACAGGCCCCAAGAAGTTCCCACGAGGCCCCAAGAAGCCCACAAAAGGCCCCCAGAATACCCGAAACGGCTATCAAGAGACCCCCAAGAGGCCCCCAAGACACAGCAACATTCCCTCCCAGAGGCCACCGAGAGCCTTCCCAATAGACCCCATGAAGCATCCCTGAGGACTCGCGCGTCAACGTCGTCGTCGTCGCCGCCGCCACCGCCGCCGTCGCCGTCGCCGTCGACGTCCCCCTTCGGGGTCGGCGGCGCCGGCCGCAAGGCTTTCGCAATAGTACAATGCGGGCCACTCGCGCGCGTCGGCCGCTCGCGCATGTCGACATCCTTCCAAAACCTTCGTCACCGACACGTGGAAATTACAATCATCGGCGTGATCAGCATCGACGACGTCATGGGTCCTGCTGTTGTCATCGTCATCGTTGTTACCAGCATCGCTACTATCATCATCGTGTCTGCCGTTGTCGGCGTCGCCGCTAGCGCGGCCGCAGCAATGCGCCAGCCAGCGCCAAGCAGTCATCGCAATCGCCGCCGCGTGGGTTTTGCAAACCAACTTGCGGGTGGGTGGGTGGGATGATTGCGCGAGCAGTGGAGTTGTCAACTTCAAGTGCGACAGGGTATACTGCACCACACATATTGCACGACCTATATGGCTAGAACCACACTATTTGGAGTCCACGCTGGCTAACATATCTGTATCTGTAGGTATCGTATAGGAACTGTTGAGTCGACCTATAGGTTGTGAGGCCTCTTATACACATCGATTGTGATATCAACAGATGGATAGATAGTGAGACCCATCGATACTGAGACCGATTGTAATGTTGACAATGGGATCGATTGACCGTGAAACCAACATATAAAGATGACAGTAGCTAGATACCGTGAACGTTCGATACATAGATTGCGAAACTGTTAGTCGAAGCCTCCATTTCACCCGAAGAGTGGTTATATAGGAATGCATGAATTTCACGTCCTCCGTTCCCTTCATCCGTCCATCCCTCCTGATCCCCGTACTGAGCCACCCAGCCTTCAGCGATCCACCCCCTCTTCCGTTACACTCCGGCTCCTCATCCCCCTAGTCACCGAGCTTCTGCTCCTCCTCCACCTCCTCCTCCTCCTTTTCCTTCTTTTACTCTGCCTGCTCCTCCTCCTCCTCCTCCTCCTCTCCCTCCTCCTCCTCCTCCTCCTCCTCCTGCTCCTCCTCCTCCTCCTCCCCCTCCTCCTCTTCCTCTTCCCCATGCTCCTCCTCCCCCGTCTCCTCCCCCTCCCCCTCCCCCCATCTTCCACCTGGCAGAAAAGGCCCTAGATACAATTCAGCGCTACGAGGCTCCGTCCAGGACGGAAGAGGCTGCGTGGCCGACAGCGTCCCCTGTCTTCGGCGGCAGAGATGGCGTTAGGCGCGCCACAGGGGCTGGTGTCTGTCTGCCCACCACCTGCTCTCTACCGCCCAGATCTGAGATCGCGTTGTTACGCGTCCTGCCTTGAACCCGAGGCAAGGCCAAGCGAGGTCACCCATCGGGGGGTCGCCACTTCCTTGAGGAAACGCCATTTCCCCCAGAATCCCCCCAGAACTAGCCCAAACGTGCAAGAACCTCCTCGAGCTTCGATCCTGAGGAACTGGTGAAACCCCCCAGTGGCACTGCCAGATTACTATCGTCCTCCTCCGCCTGCCCTCTGCGGGGCAGCTGTGGCGGAGGACGTGGGGGCGGTTGGTCAGGCTCTGGGCATTGCGTTGGGGTGGTTCCCGACCACCGCCATGGCCTCGGCGGCCGCCGCGCGCGCGTGAGCGCTCTGACGAGCTGGCGCCGACGAGGCCGAAAACGAGGCCGACGCGTCCGACGACGGCGAGGCCGGAGACGAGGACGAGGCCGACGACGGCAAGGCCGACGACGGCGAGGCCGACAAGGCCGACGGCGCCGACGCCAACGTCGGCAACGCCGACAACGAGGCCGACGACGGTGGCGGCGGCGGCGACGTGGCGCCCGCGCCCGCGCGCGAGCGCTGGCCATCCCGTGCCTCCCGCCGAGCTTGTCTGGTTGGGGCCCGCAGCCTTCGCAGGCCGCTCGGGCGAGGTAGACTTAGGCCGGGCGTGTCCTCCTACAGGCGGGTTCTGGACCAAGAGTAACAAATAGCCAAAACAAATTCAAAACACATTCAAAACATACTACGAAAAGTCGTCCCCCGACCATTCTTTGACCATTTTCGAGTATTCCTCTTGTTGGGGGACGCACCAGACTTAACTTTACAGGCCACTCGGGTGAGGTAGACGAACGGGCGGGGCGGGGAGTGCGAATAGAGGGTCCATGGAGGCAACACAGACTGGCCCCGACAGGTCCCTTTGGGCAGTCCAGGGCGATCTCGCCATCTCAACCCTGGGGCGCCGAGCGCATCAGGGGCGCCGCCGGAGGCGGTCAGAAGGTGTTGACACCGCCCTGGACTACCCCGGAGACCTCTTGGGGCCGTGGTTTTGGAATCATGAAGCTCGGTGGCAACTCACCGGAGCCTCCCGTACCATCGCGTTGGCTCTTGCGAGTCGACGCTAATCGACGCAAGCGCACTCTAGAGACGGGATTGCGAGGGTATGCGAGGCTCCCATGATGTGCTGCCGGAAGACGGCCTGTCTGAGGCAGTTCGTCCGGTCGCACTGTCAGAAGGGTGCACGTGCAAGGGCGAGGGCGTCAACGACAAGACAGGCGGAGCAGCAATGACGGAGCGGGCACCCATACAAGCCGTCTTGGGCAGGCAACCCTCTCTCGCTGCCCCCCCCCCTTTCACCCTGCACCCTCGATGTATCTCCGTGCCCCGCGACGCCTCTTTTCTTCCTGGCTCGTGGGGCGACTGAGTTTCACTGCGCGCGCAAGACCCCTGTGAACTTTGTGCAAAGCCAGTCAGACTTTTCGAGCCGCGCAACCTGTCAACGACTCCCCCGCCCCTCACTCTTATCCGCACCTGCGGGGCTAAGTGTTATACCGTGCCAGGGCCCTGGAAGCGGCCGCCGAACCCGAGGATCACCTCATGCATCCATCCTGTCTTTCCAGGACGCTGGAGGCCTGGAGGGGACGAATAAGAGGTCCGAGAATGAGAACAACACCCAGACATCCGACGATGGGTTTTTCAATGTGCGGCCCCAGAAATCCCGACCCTTTCCCCAGGGGAAATTTTGCGTCCCAAATTCTTGTTTGATGCCCCCCCAGGCCCACCAATAGGCCCCAGAACCCGGAATCAAGGAACAACTTCTGGATTGGCAAAATATCAAATCGTTGTCTGTTGCTTCCTTTTTTGAGAGGCGGAGGAGGCAAAAGGATTTAGGGCGCAACACACCCGTTGTCGATCCAATCGCAACTCTGTGCACTGCGGGAGCCTGGAGAGCGATGCGAACCAAACCAGACAACGCATCAGTGCCAAAGGGGAGGATGCCCGATAGAAAACCGTTACGAAGAAGGGGCAAGAAGAGGAGGAGGAGGAGGAGGAGGAGGAGGAAGCCCCGGATGGGAGACACCTCCCCCCTGGGAGTGGCCGCTGTTTGACACAGCTGGCCACCCCTGGGGAAGCCGCCCTCTCTGAGGGGCGGAACGAGGAGGAGGAGGAGGAGGAGGAGGAGGAGGAGGAGAAGCAGGGAGAAGGAGGAGGAGGAGGAGGAGGCGGAGGAGGCGGAGGAGGCGGAGGAGGCGGAGGAGGCGGAGGAGGAGGAGGCGGAGGAGGAGGAGGAGGGGGCAACACCTAGACTCCCTCGAGTCATGCAAAAATCACGACGCAAGGTATTTCTCAATTTTCGGCCTCTTGGGGAACTTGCCAGGCCTCGCGACCGTCAAAAAACAACTCAGGATGAGAAACCGGTCCCGGGGAAGGGGTCGAGACCTCTGGGGGTCGACGCCATGAAAAAATCATGACGTCGGGGGTCTGGGAGAGGAGGAGGAGGAGGAGGAGGAGGAGGAGGAGGAGGAGGAGGAGGAGGAGAAGGAGGAGGAGGAGGAGGGGGAGGAGCAGGAGGATGAGGGAGAGAGGAGGAGAAGGAGGAGGAGGAGGAGGGGGAGGAGCAGGAGGTTGAGGAGGAGGAGGAGGAGGACCAGTGTAAACCCAAGAGGCATCAACGATGTTGGGATAAACCCTCCCTCCAAGCTTCCTCTTCATAGGCCCCTACAACGGTTCATTTCCATTGAAGGAATTGCCTCGTTGAAGTCAACCGTTTGAAGACCCTGCGGCATGCTAAAACATTGTTCTCGGCATTCCAACGCCAAGGATCAACCTGACTGTTGCGTGTTGACGATCGAGAATCGTGCCAGAACGCCATTCCTGGGACTTCAAAACAGCGAATCCAAAGAATTGTTGCGTCCGCGTAATGCTGAATCCTTTCAAAACACACTTTCAGGTACTTTGATGATGGAATTCCATGGAACTCTTGCACATTTTCAAAAACGAATGTGCGCGGCGTTAGGGCGAGAGCCACATTTTGGAAAGGAACCGCCCTCAATCCGTCAAACTCTTGCTATTTTGTACAACGAATGTGCGCAACGCTAAGGCGAGAACCACATTTTGAAACGACCGGCCCTCAATCAGTGAAACTCATGCAAATCTTAAAAAAGAATGTGCACCGCGCTACGGCGAGAGCCACATTTTGAAAAGAAACCGCCCTTAATCAGTGAAACCCTCGCGAATATTTGAAGCGAAGGTGCGCCGCGCTGAGCCGAGAGCCACATTTTGAAAACCACCCGCCCCCAATCGGTGAAACTCTTGCGAATGTTTAAAACGAAGGCGCGCCGTGCTAAGGCGAGAACCACATTTTGAAAACGACCGGCCCTCATGTTCAAAACGAATGCGCGCCGCGCTACGGCGAGAGCCACATTTTGAAAAGAAACCGCTCTCAATCAGTGAAACCCTTGCGAATGTTAAAAACGACGGTGCGCCGCGCTGAGGCGAGAGCCACATTTAAAAAAACCACCCGCCCTCAATCGGTGAAGCTCTTGCGAATTCCTAAAAAGAATGTGCGCCGCGCTGAGGCGAGAGCCACATTTTGAAAACCACCCGCTCTCAATCGGTGACACTCTTGCGACTTGTTAAAACGAATGTGCGCCGCGCTAAGGCAAGAGCCACATGTTTCAAACCACCCGCCCTCCATCTGTGAAACTGTTACCACTGTTTAAACTTCAGGGTCATAAATGGTGGGGAAGTCTCAGGCGAAACGCCCGGCCCGCCCTGAAAACTGGCCTCGTACGACAGGGAGATATCATTTAGAAGGAAAAGGAATGGAGGCGGAGGAGGAGGAGGAGGAGGAGAAGGGGACAACACATCGCATCGTCGGAGACATGGGGTCGGGGCGGCAGCGGCAGCGTCCTGCTGCATGGAGTCCGGGCCGCCCGAGTTCTGCGACTTGGGCCACAGCTCCTCGGCTCGGGGGCACACTGATCCAGGTCAGTGCAAGCTCGGGCCAGGCAGGCTTCGCAGGATCCTGCCGCATCCTGCAGGACCCTCCCCGCGCAAGCCTGGGCCAACGCACCCCTGGCTGCGCAGGATCCTGGAAGACCCGGCGCTCTGGCCGATCCCCGTCTGCACTCCCTGGCTTCCCCCGGTCCCTGGGGGAACTTTTGCGCCCTGGACCCGTCTTGGATGGTCCGCGGCGGGGCCGAATCGCGCAGGCCGAGGAAGATGCTATCGAGGAAGCTCGCCCCGTTTGAAGAACAAGCCATCTCGTCGGAGACCCGGGTCTTCTGACGGCCCCAGGTCCCAGCGAAGGCCCCCCGAGGCAGAACTCTGCCCTGGACCTTCCGCCCTGGTCCTGAACCGCGACGCGAGGAGGCCGACGGGCCCTCGGAGGCCGGCTGCACGCCAGTGGCCCTGGGCGAGAGCCGACCTTTGGTCGCCTCTCGCCTGGGCTGAAGAAATCTGCTCGTCGGATGTTCCTAGACCCCCTCGGGTCATGGTAAAAATCACGACGCCAGGTTTCTCGTTATTTTCGGTCTCTGGGGGCCCTTGCCGGGCCTCGCGACTGTCAAAGAACGACTCAGGATGGGAAACCGGTCCCGGGGAAGGGGTCGAGACCTCTGGGGGTCGACGCCATGGAAAAATCATGACGTCGGGGGTCTGGGTTGCAGGGCCCAAGAATGTACACCACCACCACCTCCCTCACCCGCTCCCTCGCCCAGGAAAGCAGACGAGAAAAGGACAGTGGAGGAGGGAGGCGGAAAAGAAGTGATGGTGGTGGTGTATATTCTGGGGGCCCGCAGATGTCTGCAGAGAGACCCCCGCCTCTCACAGCTCCGCGGCCAGCCAACTCCCGGCGGCCTCTCCGGCGGCCCTTGTCGGAGGCCGTCCTCAGCACACGTCAGAGCGCGGCGGGGGCAAAGGTGGGACTGGAGGAAGATCGCTCCAAACGGACCCTGGAAGAAGGAAAGGTGAGCATCCAGCTGGGTTCGGCCCCTAACCTTACCTCTGCGGGGGTGACCTTGGGGGTGCTAAGTGTATAAGGGGGCTAGAAGTGGATGCTAAGGTGGGTTATATCTGGCCCAACCTGGCTCAGAAGTGGGCTACACATTCCCCGAATGGCTTAGGGGTTAGCCAACTCCGCTCAATGGGCGGAGCCCACCTAGCCTGGACTGTTAACCCCCCTACGCTATTCGGGGCATGTGTATGCCCACTTGTAAGCCAGGGTGGGCCAGATATAACCCACCTCGGCATCCACCTGTACCCCCCCTCTCCGCTTGGCCACCCCCGCGGCGATCCCGGTGGGGGAACAGAAGATAAACCGGTATCGCTACTCCCCGGACCTCTCTGGCCGCCCCTCGGCGGGGGGCGCCTCGGCGGGGGCCCCTCGGCGGGGGTTCTGGAGCGGGGCCTCCCCTGAGAGCTGACGCGGCCCACGAAATTACAACATCGCGTGACATCGCGCGACCGGACCCCGGGACCCCGGCTTCCGGCGTCCATTTTTTCGAGCCGCATCGATCTGTGAGGGGGCCCGAGAAGACAGGCGAAGACGGCCGTTGCGTCAAAACTGCGACGCCGGGATATCTCGGGGTCCGGCAAGGGGCCTCTGGAGCAAGGGGCCTCTGGCGAGGGGCCCCGGCAAGGGGCCTCCGGCGAGGGGCCTCCGGCGAGGGGCCTCCGGCGAGGGGCCTCCGGCGAGGGGCCTCCGAGGGGGCTCCGCAGCTGGGGGCCTCGCGGCGGGGCGCCCCGCGGAGGGCCTCGCGCGGCCCGGGGGAGGGGGGGCCCGCGGCCGCGGCCAGGGGCGCCTCCCCCCTAAGGAGGGCCGCGCGGCCCTCCTTAAGGGCCTCACGAGGCGTGGACGCGTCGCGCGCTCGGCCTCCGCGAAGGGGCCCGGGGAGGATCGGGCCCGGGCCAGGTCGAGGTCGAGGCCCTGGGCCTCGAGGGGCCCAGTGGGCGGCCTCGATCGAGGTCGAGGTCCTGGGCCTCCGGAGATCGACGGCCTCGACGGCCCTCGACGGCCTCGATCGAGATCGAGGCCTCGATCTCGATCGAGGTCGAGGTCGGGCCTTGCAAACGACGACCGCGGAGTTTTTCTCCATCCTTGGCCTCAAGGTGACGCCCCTGGTGAGTATCGTTCAACCGACCCCCATCCCCACCAGCGTGGGCTGGGCCCCACTGGCCGATTTACCCTCCCGGATGGGGATGCAGGCCGTACCCTTCGGGTTTCGACGGGTGTATCCCCAACTGGGTGGTAATTTGGTGGGGGTCTCGAAGGGCATGGAGATGGGCATGGGGATGGGGATCGGTTACAGTGCGGGAGCGGCCGCAAGAAACCCTCGCAAGAAACCCAACCCTGAGAACCCGTGCGCGAGGTACACCTGAGGGGAAACCTGGAGCACCCTGAACGCGGCTTCAACGGCTGCGGGAAGTCACCGCGCAGCGCGAGGAGCGAAGAAACCCAGGATACCCTGACGAAAAACACATGGTTTCTTGATGCGCGCTCCCACCATAAACGACACCGACCTGGGCTCCAGAGCCACGAAAAGGGACGGCCAGGGGCGAACCGGAGCGGCCCCCGTGGAGGGGCCGAGGGTCCTCGGGCGCCCGCGCACGGAGGAGATCACGGCCCGGTGTGGTGCTCGGACGCCGTGCTGTCTTTTTTGTTGTTGTTGTTGGCACGGCGTGGCGCCCCAGAGGTCTGGGCCCCTATCCCTCCCTCCCTCCCTCCTTTTCCTCCTCCTCCTCCACCTCCCTCCTCCTCCTCCTCCTCCTCCTCCTCCTCCTCCTCGATCCTCCTCGATCTTCCTCCTCCTCCTCCTCCTCCTCCTCCTCCTCCTCCTCCTCCTCCTCCTCCTCCTGCTCGATCCTCCTCGATCTTCCTCCCCCTCCGCATCCCCCTCCACCCCCATCTCGTATCGGCTACTGCCAGACCTAGGCCTGAAGAAGATGCTTAAAGAACACGAGGACCTCCGCTGGCCAAAACACCCCAAATCCTTGAGGGGGTCACCTTTTCAGGATGCACAAGAACATCCAACACGCACGACGAGCACTATAGGGTACCCTCGCCGAACCGACCTCGATCTTATACCTCGGTCCGACTGTAGATGGGGTCGGGGGATCGCGCCGCATCGCCAATGCGTCGCCAGGGCATCGGCGAAGCATCGGCGCCATCGGCGTGCAGAAACTCTGGCTCCACATCGAGCCGCATCGTCGATGTAGCGACGGTGCGGAGCGATCCCTCGACCTCCTCTCCACTGAGGGCAGGCCTGGGCAGAGGTCCTATAGGACCGATTTTGAGCCGATCTCGGCTGCCTGCGTCGGCCTCCGCGAAGGGCGACGAGGCTGTCCGGGAGGCTCCTGTGCGCTTTTTCCAGCTCCCGCCACCACGGCCGGACGTGGCTTGGCAGGCTGGCCACGACATGGACCCCGGGGCGGGGTCCGGAGGTCCGCTTCGTGAGCGGATTCCGGCCGCGGGCGGGGCGACGGGGCACCCTCTGCCGTGCGGGGGTCCGTCGGGGCGGCCTGCGGGTGGTGGTGTCCTAGCCGACCAGCGATAACTGGGGGAGCTGTGGTCCTTACCCCCCTGGGGGAACCCATCGCATCGACGATCTCTCGAGAGGGGTGTCGAAGTCGCTGGGTCCCCCAGGGGGTAAGGACCACAGGTCCCCCAGTTGTGGCTGGCTTGCCTAGTCGGCTCGGGCCCCGCGCTGCTGCGCGACATGGATCGCAGACAGCCGCGCGGCCGTGCTGCGCGCGGTCGGAGCCGATCGGGCCCCGCCGGCGGCTGATTTCGGACTGGGCTGTCGACTGGCTCCTCGTACTCCTCCTGGTCATGGAACGCCTGCAAGGATGCGGACAAGTTCGCTCGAAGATCGATGCCCCCCTCTGCCTCCACCTCCTCCTCCTCCTCCTCCACCTCCTCCTCCACCTCCTCCTCCTCCAACGGCCTCAGCATAATGACGGCCTGTACATGCTCTGGCTGGCAGGGACCCTCGCCTCTGCGTCCGCCTCCGACGTAAACTCGCCGACGGGCGCTTGATCATGCCAGACATTACCCTGTCTTCTGATGATTTCCCCGTCGCTCTGGTCGTGCGTATCGCCTGGTCGCTGCGATCTGCCATGAGGTCCTCATCGTTATCATCATCAGCAACATCACCATCATTGTCTTAGTCATCAACATCATCATCATCATCATCATCATCATCATCATCATCAGCAGCAGCAGCAGCAGCATCATCATCATCATCATCAGCATCACCATGGTAATCCTCCTCCTTGTCCTCTTACTCCTCCTCATCTTCCTCCTCCTCCTCCTCATCAGCATCATCATCCTCATCAGACTCATCCTCATGATCACCCTCATCCTCATTATCGTCTTACCCCTCATCATCGTCATCCTCCTCCTTCTCATCACCACCGCCATAAGACTAATCATCATCATCATCATCATCATCATCATCATCATCAGCAGCAGCAGCAGCAGCAGCATCAGCATCATCACCATCATCACCATGTTCATCATCATCATCGTCATCAACAGCAACAACATCATCAGCTTTCTCAACATCAACGACAACATCCTCATCACCATCATCGTCATCAACAGCATCATCACTATCACCACTTCTCGACTGCTAGCAGCCAGCATCACCACAACCACACCAACGCCAATACAATATCAGATCCTGCGCCTCGTGATCACCATCACCACAAACAGTGTGAGCGGGCGCTGCTGACCGCTCCGGGTGCATGGACTCACCATCCTCCTCTTCCTCCTCCTCCTCCTCCTCCTCCTCCTCGTCGTCGTCGTCGTCATCAGTTTCATCATTTGTGCCATCGTCCTCGTCGTACATAATCGTCTTCGTCATCATCGTCGTCGCCTCGCTGTTATCATGCCGCCGCTCCGCCTTTACCCTACTCCAGTGCCCGCCCCGGGTGGCGCGGCCGCGCTGGAGCCCGAGGCGGAGGA